ACCGGAATGTAAAAGGGTCAGCCCTGGAGAGGGCAGTGAGACTCTCCACACAAGGTCCATTCAAATGACAACGGATCACATTACTCATGTCATTACTATAACCTGACAATTTCATTAGATTCATGTGGCAGTTAAATATTTAGGACTTACAACAAAGGGACATGGTTCATTCATGGGAGTTTTTCCGGACAAGGTGAAATTTAGCATCAACTTGATTTTTCAACTCTAAGTCTCATGTATTTCTTTTATTCTCTCTGTCACACTACTTTTCTTCAAAATCAGGGAAAGTGCTGGATATTAATTAAACATTTACAGACTTCCAACATTCTCTGGCCTAGGGTTTCCTTTGATCTCAGACACAGTGTGGTGAAAGGACCAGTCCTGAGGCGAGGGTTACTGAAGGGAGACAGGGGTTTGGCCACTGCTGACTAAGCCACCAGACATCCTCTTCAGAGAGAAGATCATTGCTCAACACAAGCCTTTGGAGCTGGGGGGGGGAGGGCGGGGGCCAGGAAGGGGGGTGAGTCGAAGGAGAAGTGAAGGAGAAGACAGTGATGACGACATCGACCACAACAATAACTATCTTAAAAACAAGCCAGGCAGGATGGCACACTCCTGTAATCCAGCTTACTAACTCAGGAGACAGAGGTAGGAGGACTGTGTTCTAAGGCAGGTCCTGGACAAAACCCACAAAACCCTGCCTAAAAAATGACTAAAGCAAATGGGCTGAATGCATGGCATAAGTGATAGAGCACCTGCCTGCCTAAAACTATGAGGTTCTAAGTTCAAACCCCAGTACCATGAACAATCAAACAAACCAACAACAACAAAGGCAAATTAATCAACAGAAACCCTCAAAGAAAACCACCAAAGAAAAGAGAAGTGCGTTGATAATCTTTAATTTCTTGCATCTCTACATATCCAACTTAGCCAAGGTAAAACATGACTCAAATCTAAAGTGGAGAAAACTAACAAAAAGATTACTAAACTTTGATCATAATATTTTCCTTTGCTTCTCAACCAAACATTAAGACTTTCATACATGTATTTCCAATATTTAGCCAGAGTAATAGCTACAACTAAAATACACAGATTTGCTTGGTTCACTGAAAGTGTAGCTGCAAAGTCAAAGCTCCAGTTAAGTAGCTATAATCAAGATAGGACAGTCAACCACCCTTAGAATCAAAATACTAATCTTGTCCACTGTTTAGCTGAATCTTACCACACTGTAGATAAAAAAGTTATTCTCAGCCTTAGCCCCATTTAGCTCCTATTTATCTGTTCATTCATTCAGCAAATATTTATTATACCAGTGTACTATATACCAATGCTTACTATACTAAGAATGGAAACAGAAGAGTAAAAAATGGTGTGTCTTATGCAGCCCACACTGGAAGTGTTCCTTGAAGGCATTTTTGAAGATGGTTGCTTGCCTAGAGAAGGACACTTCTAGCTCCAGCCCTTTACTGATCCTCTGTGCAGAGCGGCAACTGGGCGAAACTCCTTCTGCTAATAACCCTTCCTCCCAGCCCCTCCTCTAAACTCTAGTTGAAGTTTTTTGACAGAAATATCATTAGTAAGTGACATGCTGGCAGGTCACATCTGTAACCGTAACTATTCAAGAGACTAAAATCTCAGGTTTGCAATTTGAAGCCAGCCCAGGCAGAGAAGTCCAATTAACAGACAAAATGCTGGAAATGTAGGTGTGACTCAAGTAGTAGAGTTCTACTAATAATTGGAAAACAAAACAAACAAACAAGCAAAAGGGTGTGAAACTCTTAAGTTTAAGCCCAGTACTGGCATTAAAAAAAAAAAAGAGGAGGAGGAGGAGGAGGAAGAAGAAGAAGAGAAGAGGAGGAAGAGAAGAGAAATTGCTAACATTAATTATATCTCTATCCATTGTGGATCTTCAGTATTCTATATTTCTCCTTCCTAATTTCTGTGTTTTTAAATTAAGACATGTTCATATAATTTTGCATACTGCATTTGCCTCAATATAACACTGGCATCTTGCAAACACTATTTTTTAGTAATTCAAAAATGCACATTCGTGATCTCCCTTTTAAGATTTAAGATGTTCTATCACATCTAGGTGACATGATTCATTTGCCTCTTTTGTTATTGTTGGGTCAGTTAGGTTGCCTGGTCATGATTTTTTTGCCATTATAAATAATGCCATATTAAACTATTTAATGCAAGTACTGTCCTCGTCTCTGAAGCAATGACTCTTAGATCATTACCAACCACAGGTATGAATGGACACAGGCCTGTCATCTCATGACTCACAGCAAGGAAGCTTCCCAATATCTCATCCCTTCTTCTCATTCACTTGAAAAGCATCTTGATAAATGGTTTTTAAAAAACTGCATTACTGATTACTAACAGTTAAACTTTTAAACACATTGATTATCACTATCACCTGTACTTTATCCTATTAACTAGAAAAAAACTTAAAGTGAATGTAAAGGAATCAGTCAAGCTCAATATGCTAAGCATAGTAACTCTTTTCATCATACTTTTCCCAACGCCCTCCCAGTTATATTTATCTTCATGTATTTTACATAATAAAACTCCTCCCCTCTTTGGGAGACTTCCCACTGCTTCCTTGCTTGGAGGTACTTCCTTAAAGAGTAGACAAGAAAGCATATTATCTTTAGGTTTCTTGTTATGCTTTCTTTTTTGGACTTTACTCTTAACACTATTCATATCTAAATTCTATGTTACAAGCACTGTGCTCAGTGTTAGCTACAAACCACCTCAACTTAATTTTAATAACCTTGTAAGTATTATCTCCATTTTCAGATTTAAAAACAGCAGCACAGGACTGCTGATTTCCTCATGGGCTACCCACTTCTTTCTTTTCAAAGCCCAGAACCTTTCTGTTGGATCAATTTACTTCTCCCTTGAGGACCATGCTTTTCTGGTCATAGAAGTGGGACTAAAACTCCCTGGTCTGGTTTGTTTCTCATGGTGATCACTCAAACTGGTCAACAAAAATGTTCCATGTGCCAGAATGGGCCATAATTTATCATAAGCAGTAATAGTTTTAATAATTAATCACACAATGTTCTAGAAACAGAAAAAAGGGCTACCTCCTCAATGTAAAGAGGTCACAGACAATCCTTCAGTGCAGAAGAGGAAAGGATTTGAACAAGTTTGAGGATAAAGGGGACTTGAAAAGGAAGAAACAAAGTCAGAAATGTGGACTGAAATGCAAGTTATACCTGCTCCCATTTCTGTCACCTTATTTGAAAGAAGGCATTATTTGCATTTTAAATATGAAAAAATGGAGGCCCAGTGTCATATGGTTAGCAAGTGATGAACTTTTTTTGGTGATGGTCCTGGGGGTTGAATCCAGGGCTTGGGTGTTATCCCTGAGCTTTTGCTCAAGGCTAGCACTCTACTACTCTGAGCCACAGCGCCACTTTTGGTTTTCTAGGAGCAAACTAGAGATAAGTCTCATGGGCTTTCCTGCCCAGGCTGGCTTTGAACTCTGATCCTCAAATCTCAGCCTTCCAAGTAGCTAAGATTACAGGTTTGACCCACCGACACCCAGCCACTGAGCTTTTTTGATCAAAGCTTGCATTCTAGCACAGCTCCTCAATTTCCAGCTTTTTCATAATTACAGATGCGTCTCATGGACTTTCCTACCCAGGTTGCTTTGAATCTCAATCCTCAGATCTCAGCCTCCTGAACAGCCAGGATTACAGCTGTCTGCCATCAGTGCCTGGCAAAGATGCACTCTTAAACCCAGGTTTGGTTCTAGACCAATCTTGTCTTCACACATACTGGCTCCTCCTCTACTTCTTTTCTAGTCCTGTCAATCACCTCCCAGTTTCTCTGCAGCCTTAGCTCGCAATGCCCTGTTCTCTAAACATCTAAGAGCTTTTCTTCATCTCACAAAGAACTTATGTTATAACAGAAGTTTAATACCACCTAAGTCCCATGCTCACCTCCTAGCAATCTGAAAGCAGTTTCTCAAACAACATGAAACTTCTCTAACCCTCCCTTTAACTCAAGGAAAGCTTATGGTTAATGAAAAGAGTTGATGAGAATCTGCACTGTTCTCATAATCCAATGCTGTCTTCGTGGCCCACTTAACCTCCCCACCTCAAAGGGTCACTCTTGGAAGTTCCACAATTCTCAGAAAAATCGCACCACCAGGCATACACCTCTCCCCACCTTCTCAGCCCTGAAACTTCGCATTGCCCTAGGCAGAACCTTTTGCCTCAACTGCCTGATTTTACTTCCTTGCTGGACTATACTTAAACCCTGGACCCCACCCACCCTGCTTTCCATGCTCCTTGTATATCCAACTGCTCAGTGGTACTTGGCGCCCTCTCTCCAGTGATGATTAAACCCTGGTCTAATCTGTTGAGATCTCTGTCCCCTTTCTTCCCTTTTGTCCAGTTGATCTTTCCTAACAAGAGTGATGGAGACACTACACACTTTCAAGTGACAGATATATTCCATCTACCTACTGGGAAAGAAATGGTACTTAATAGGTGAGTGCCATTATGTAACCCTAGCTCCTTGGGAGGCCTAGAATGTTGAGATCAAGGTTCAAGGTCAGCCTAGGTGAGACTACTTCTCAACAAAGAGTTGGATGTTGCAGCACAAGCCCAGGAAGAAAATGGAAATCCTATCCCAAAAGTAGCCAGTAGGAAACATGGCTGTAGATATGGGTTAGTGATAAAGAGGGCCTGTCTAGCAAGTCTGAGGAACAGTGTTCAAACATCAGTACTGAAGGAAAAAAAAAAAAAAGCAAAAGCAAAGACAAAAAACAAAGTACTTGAAAGGGGGCAATGACCAGATATGAAAGGATCTATAACATCTAACAAGTTTTACTCAATCAAAAAGGGCTGCACCAGCCCATTACAAATACTAAAAATAGGTGTCCTTTGATCATTCCTAATTATTAAACAAATGCCTAGTGAAAGACACTAATAGTCCTGCTCATCAATTAGCAATTCCACTACCAGTCAGAGAGTGACTCTTACCTCCAAAGGTGAGCTGCAAAGGAATCTTGTGAACTGCAGTCAAGTTCATATGGAATCAATTTCACCCCATAAATGGACAGTAAGAAAGAAAAAAGAAGAAAAACTGTTACACAATTTTCCAGTAAAAGCCTGTAAAGCAAAGTCTATACAAAATTAAGTGTTTTCATACAATATATAATTGATCCACAGATATAGGAAGGTTCAATTTAGCCCACAATAGGTACACAATTATTTCAAACCATTAAAATACACACACATACCCCTCCTGTTATCTGTATAAAAGCAAATAAAGCTGAACAATTCATTCTACCATATTTTACTTTTTTAAGCTTTATCTCACAAACTCTGTAACATTATACCTTTAAGAGAGCAACCTTCCCAACCTAACTCTCCCAGGCAAAGGCTAGTCAATGCCCAAAGGGGGAGACATAAAGCATAGGGGAGCCAACAAAATGGAGAGACAGAAAAAGCAGGGCCACAGGGACACAGGGAAAACCTGTTCTCTGCTCTCTTTTCTCAGTCCTATACTCCCTCCCTGTTTCCTCTCCCTTCCTCTCTGTCCCTCTCTCTTCTACTGTTCTTGTATGGCACATACAGATGCTTACTGAAAGCCACCGGTTAATAAGTGCAATATACTACTTGTCTCCCAGCAATTAAGTAAATAAATTTGTGGGGTGAAGGGATACAAACTACAGAGAACCCCTAAGTTGTCTCTGAAGTAAAGACTGTTAATCTAACTTCATACATGTATATCATATGGTGACTCACATGTCTTCAGATTTATTTACAGAATCAACATTTCAGATCCTGTGCCCCTGACTTTAATAGTAAGGTACTGAAGTAGTCTAAACTTCTCCCTTCTGGATCTGCACACTGACTAGGATCCTGTGCAGACAGGACCATTTCCAAGTACTCCTCAACTTCCTGACACAACAAAGCTGGCTTTTACTCACAGAACGTCCAAATAACTCATATTCTCCTTCAGAGACACACACTGAAATATTTATCAATAAAAGGACATCATGTCTACAACGTCCTTCTACCTGCCCCAGAGAAGAATGGGGGTAAATTTAGAGATAAAACAAGAAATGTCCAGGATACTCAAGTACTAAGGTAGAAAAAAAACACACAGGGTTCCTTACCTGATTATTTCTACTTGGCACAAGTTTAGCTTTCCAAAATAAAGTTTTAAAAAGACATCAAACATGCCTTTTCCCAAACTAAGTATACCAAATTTCATTAGCACTTAACAATCTGTGCAATTAAGTAGCTTCATCTAGATAATTTAAAATACCAAGACTGCAGTAATTATTTAACCAAGATACAACTGGATTATGATAACTGTTAAGAGAACTTTCTGAAAGTGCAAGATATTCCAAAATGCTGTTTTCCAAATTCTGATATAAAACAAGATAATTTTATTGAAATTGAAAATGCAAGTTTACAATAAAGATTCTTTTACAAGTGCCCAACCTAAAACAATTCCTATTTGTCCTCCTCAAATTGTAAGGGGCCAGTTGAAGTACTAGCCAATTTTAACAGTAGAGAAAAATGAGTCATGTGTTATTATTTTAAAAATCAGAAATTTGATATTGTAATGTTTCTATATGCTTTAGCCCTGTAGACACTATGTTATACACATACTTTTGAATTTACAAGCAGCTCAGTTCAGTAGTAACTGGTGCATCAATTAAGTAGCAAAAGAGAAACATAAACACTATAAGCAAAAGAGAAGCAAACACTATCTAAAAACCTGACATCACCTTGAAGCTCCAATAACTTACATACATCTTTGGCATCAGTAACATTTGTGTCAAAGCATTTTCAAAACAGAGCTAAATAGTTATGTCTTGTTCAAACTGCTAAAATATGAAATTCACAAAAGTTTTCGATCCTAAAGTAGTAAAAATGGAATTCCAAATCACAAGGTATGCATTTATACTATTCCAAAGACATGAAAAAGATTTCAAAAACTGTTTGCTATCCTTCATTTCACCTTACTGAATCGGTCATAATGAAAATACACCTTTCATCATGTTCAATACAAACACTTTGAGAAAGAGTAGTTACAAAAAAGTTAAATATAATTACAAAATCATATCCTATATACACTTAAACTGACAGCAGAAATAGATTGCTTGCACTATAACTAAACTTGCCTTGTTTGGGCTAGTCCTCAATAGGTAGCACTGTTCACCTGACAGGTCATTACCAGAAGGTCATAAAATGTGAAGTTCCTCAGATTTAATGGCAAAAACAGACCCAAAACACAAAAGGTAAAATCAGAAGTGCCTCATAGCAAGATTAACCTGACCGCAGGAGCTTTGTACTCACTAAAATGCGCTTAGCTCACTGTGGGGAAATTTCTCAACAAACCCCTTCAGGAAATTAAAAGCAGCTTTAACTTATTAAAGGACAACTGTCAAGGGCTTCTGACATCATCTGAATTTTCCTTTTGTTTCTAACTCAAGTTTGACAACAGTATTTCCTTATGGGTATTTTATAATTTGGCAACTACTGAGTTCTCTCTCTCCAGATGTTACTTAAGAATAGTCCATTCTGCTACTCGTTCATTCAGTGGTGGCCTGCTCCATTCCAAACACTCCTCTGGGCACTATTACAAAGTGTATTCTGTACACTTTGGATTTCAGTAATACAGTATCGCTAACTTATCAAAAGAAGAGAGAGCCCCAATAGGAGGAAAAATCCAAACATCTATTCCCCTTCCGTTGCCAGTCCTAAGAAATCACAATAAATCTTCAAATAATGCCTTTCACATGTTATGTGTGGTATAATAGGATACAGAGTCAAAGTAGTATTAAAATTCTTGGGGGGAGGGGAGATGGGGAAGGGAAGGATTATTGGGAGAAAAACAAAGGAGTGGGTAACAATGTTTGACAAGAAATGTACTCATTACCTTACTCATGTAACTGTAAGCCCTCTGTATAGCATCTTTACAATAAAATAAAATTTAAATACTAAAATTAACCATTGACAAACCAACTGAGTGGTTCTGAATATTGCTTTTTTTTCTTTTGAAAGACTGATTCTAACCTAATATTAAAGTTTAAAACAAGGACTAGGGATATAGTTCTGTGGCTGGCAAGTTTGCATGAAGCCCTAGATTTAACCTTTGCACTGAAATGAATTAAAAAATAAAATGTATGTGACCTCTGACTTCAAACAAATGTGAGTTAAAATAAGAGGGACAAGAAAAAAAATTGTAAATGTGAGAGTCTCGTTTGCTCTTGATGTTGGTGTCTCTGATATCCCAGTATGTATATACTCATCCATATTCTACTTACTAAAGTTAATCAGCCAGGTACAGCATAATCCTTACAACAGACCCCATGTTTACAAATGAGGAACCTGAAGTAAAAATGGGAGGAAGTGGAATTTATTTAGAGTCACAAGGTACAAAGCAGGTAGCTAAGATGCCAAGCAGAAAGGACTAACACTCTTAGCTGTGAAGCTCCTTAGCTTCCATGTCACTAATACTCTGTCCCAACCTGCATGCAATCATACCTGGTACCAGCCCAGATAACTTTTTCCTAGGCACATTGGGTCTCAGGAAGATGAGTCATGCAGAATGAGTACCTACCTCATACCAAACACTCCCTATCTGACATCTAGTATCTCATTTTGTGGTCTCATTCCTCTACTTGGAGAAAACAACGTGATTATACACAAATTACCTGCAATACTTATTGAGGTCAAGTACCAAGCTACTTCAGAACTTCACTTAGCCAAAAAGAGAGCTCCAGAAGAAAATAGTAGGTTAAAATGAGGAAACATTTACAATGCATATACTCACAGAAGGATCCCTTAAACTCCTTTTCCCACTTTAATTCTTGACTATAGCTTTACCTACAAATAAATTTGGTGATCTAGTTGCAATTTCCTCCCTTACATCTAGCTTTACTTTTTCTGTAACAACCTCTGCCAACTTACTAATTACTATCTCATTATGCTTATTGTTTAATGACTAATTCTTTAATGGGTGAGGATGATTAGAGATAGTCTTGATCTGATGTATTAACTGATTTTCTAACTGTACCAAATGCCTCTCAACTAACAGCTGGCTGGCTAGAAGAGGTGTTCAATATGTATTTTAAGACACCTATCAAGAAACCACAACTTACATGAGGAGGGTGTGCAAAGAATAAGGTAGGAGTAGTTTACATGTATAAAAACAGAATGAACTTTGTTCAAACTGTTTGAAAAAGGGAGTAGTAGGGTAGGAGAGTGACAGAAGGGGCATGGTTGATTTGGATACGCCATATGCAAGTTACAGCACAGCCCATCTAGTACAACTAATATATGCCAATAAAAATAAAGAAACTAAGCCAGGCACCAGTGGCTCATGCCTGGAATCCTAGATACTACAGAGGCTGAGATCTGAGGCTCGTGGTTCAAAGCCAACCTGGGCAGAAAAGTCTCTGAGACTCATCTCCAATTAACCACCAGAAAACCAGAAATGGTGCTCTGGTTCAAGTGGTAGAGCCACTGTCAGGGACAGCATCTAGGCCGAGTTCAAGCCCCACAACCAACCCCTCCCCCCCCCAAAAAAAATTAAAATCAAGAAATCTAAAGGATGTAAAGTTACATACAATAGTAACTAGATGGGGAAAAAGTTGAGGCTAAGGGCCCTGGGTATCCCAAAATTCTGTATCCAACACAGAACACTACTTCTGAAAGGACCGAGGAACCATTATCCACAGGCAAGTCCTGCTTAGCCTTCTGTGTGACCTGGAGGAACACAACACACCATGGTAAGACTGTCACTCTCAATCACTACAAAATATAACATCTTAGCAATAAAGACGTTTTCACTATCTGCCAAACCTGCTTATGCTGAACACTCCATCCATGGTGAAGGTTATTCTACATCAACTATTTAAGCCAACCTCAACTTCTCATGGCAACTCATGGTGAAAAGTAAAAAAGCTGAATTTTCTAGACATTGTCCTGTCATGAACCATCACAATCCTTAGGACAAACTTCCTAATTCTCCAAACAAGTTTATTTATGTAATTAACTAAGCTAATGTTGTATGATATGATGATTTTGTGACCTGAGAAAAATTTAGGAAATCATTAACCAAAAGAAACTTTTAAGAAAAATGTTCCCAGTTCTATATTTAACTACAACCCTTTGAATCTGCCTAAAAAGTAACGGTATGCTGGGAATTCCATAGTCCATTTGCTCCAATTAATATATGCAAAATATATATTGTAGTTTATCCACTATCAGCAACAAATGTTTACCACAGACCATGAGAAAGATTCCACTATGTCCTAACATAGGAGTATTTCTCATAAAAAGTGGCTTTGGTTAAATTATATAGATAATTGCCTAAGCCCTCTACTTTATTAGCCACATGTAGTTTAGTGGTAGAGTAAATGCCTAGCATGTGTGAGGCCTTAGGTTCAATCCCTACTAAACTCTACACATCCACCTCAAAATTTTTTTTTAATTTCAAAATTCTTCTTTTTTTTTTTGGGGGGTCCAGTCGTGGGGCCTGAACTCTGGACCTGGGCACTGTCTCTGAGCTCTTCAGCTCAAGGCTAGCGCTCTACCACTTGAGCCACAGTACCACTTCTGGCTTTTTTTTCTTTTTGCTTATGTGGTGCTGAGGAATCGAACCCAGGGCCTCAGGCATGCAAGGCAAATGCTCTACCACTGAGCTAACTTCCCAGCCCCAATTTCAAAATTCTTAGATCCTACCATCATGCAAATTCAACTATATAGCAGAGTTAATTATCTGTAAAATAGCACATATCAAATGTGATTGGTCTACTTGCATAATTGAAAGAGAATGTCAGTTCTTTGATACATTGAACAATTTTCTAAATATAAATTTTTGTTACTTCATATAAAGACAGAGTAGAACTACTAGGAGAAAAGGGAAGTTGAAAGCTTTTTTAGCTTAAGTTCCAAAAAATACTTAAATCACTGACAAGCAAAGAATTACTTCTAATTAGCAATTTAAAGCTTCAATGCAAATTACTTCTAACAAATGATGAAAAGCATTTGTCTACTTCTTGGGCTGTGAATACAGGAGCTACGTCACCCACACAGAGAATCACAAACCTAGACCACCACCTGGTGGCCGGAGTGAGACACAGCCCAGCATTCCACCAGCTCCTTCCTTGTCTCCACAAGTCAGCATGGGACCTTTCCTCTTTCTTTTCCAAATCAATTGCTGAACTGCGTATGCTTGAATATAAGATGACTTATTCCATTTCAAAAGCCTCGTGTCATGAAAGAGACTATGGAGGGACCTCATTAATGAAAGGGTAAAATTTGGGGGTGGGTGGATACAACATGGTCTTTCGTGTTCTAGAATAAAGACCTGCAGGTCATCGAGAAAAAAAAAAAAAGGATGACTTATTCCGAAGTATTTCTAAAAGTAGAGGTCTCCTAGGATTTCAATCTATCATAGAAAGTTCTACAAGTTTAATCTTAGAAATAGTGCTTTCTAGGAAGTAACACTAATCACATTTTAAATTCACATTACAAATCAGCAACAAGAACGTGTTTACAGGTAAAGGGTCATGACATTGGGGACCTGACTACCATAAACACATGATGACAAGGGCAACTGACTGACCAAGCATGGGAGTGATGAAGCAGAGTGTTAGCCATGCTACAGTTTGCTATACCATTACCCCAACCTGTGAAGGCTTCAGACTTTCAGTCGAAGTTTTTAAAGTAAAATATATAATTTAATTTGTCTTATTAGCCCTAGGAATATAAATGCAACATAATACGTGAACTTTTGTTTCAAAAAAAGCTTAACTGGGGTTGGGGATTTAGCTCAGTGGAAGGGTACTTCTCCAGCATAAATGTATATTATACTTTCCTCTCTTTGCTGATTTAAGAAGTAACTGTAAAAATAGCATGTATAAACTTGTATTGTTGGAACAATAACATGAGGGAAATGAATGCCTTCGACAATGGTATCAGAATGAAGGTGGAGAAAAATGCAACTATACTAGAGCAGGGGAAATGATACTAGAGGTATCTTGAAACCACAGGAACTAATGGGAATAAGTGGAGAGTAAAGTTAGCTAAAATTGCTGGGGTTACTGCTAGGAGAACAATTAGTTCTAATGTGATAGCATTCACCTTTACCCACCAGCTCTCAGTGCCACAGATTATTTGATCGCATAAAGATCAACTTCTGCATGGACAATCCATAAGCAAAACAAAAAGATAAAAGATCAAAAAGTCACAACTTTGATCACAAAAGGCTGTATCTGTAATACATGAAGAATTCCTGCCAAGTCCTAGTGGGTTATGTGTATAATCCTAGCTATACAGGAGGCTGACATCTGAGAATCCCAGTGTGAAGCCAGCCCAGGCAGACAAATCTAAGAGACTTTATGTCCAATTAACCAGCAAAAAGCAAAAAACAAAACAAAACAGAAGCATGGCTCAAGTGGTAGAGTGCCAGCCTTCTGCAAAAAAGCTAACTGAAACAAAAGGCTCTGATAACCAATATAGAGGGTTAAAAAGAAAAAAAAAACTTATATATATATATGCTAAGTTTATAGAGGAAAAATGCAAACGGTCTCTAAATCTACAAAAAAAAGTTTAACTTTACTTATAACAGAAAAAATGAACATTAAAAGCTACACAGAAATTTAATTCCCATTTATATGGCAAAAGTCCCAAACTTTTATGAAATGCTCTCACCCAGGCCATAAAGGAGAAAGCATTCTCAAAGACTGTAAGGCAAAATAGAACAGCACCTATGTAAAGGATTTTGACTAGAAATCTGGATCACACATAGAAAATGCAAAAACTACATAATAAGAACACTTACTACAACACTGACGAATACCAAAAGACTAGAAAAAGCCAAATGACCATCAATAAAGGCTTATCTGAAAAATTATACTAGGATATACAGTAAATTCGGTGGGAACCCAAGGCCCTGAGCAAATTATAACTGGCTGCAGATGTGATGGTGTGTTTGAAGTATGAATGATACTGGTGGAAAACTGAAAGACACAAGTTTATGAGTGTTTGACCTTTCGAATTAATTCCTGTCAAAAGATACAAGTCCCTATATGTACTTACCTGAGTGAGGAAATTCCTGGATCCCTTACTGAAACTGCTTACGTGCTTCCTGACTTTTGTCATCAACCTCTTGGAATGTACCCTTTTGTCTATTTCTCTGTAACCCCCTTAAGTTTGCCCTGGGCTAATTTGAATCTATAAAAGCACATGTTAGGGGAGAGAACTTGAGCTTAACTACATGTCGATTAAACTCATTCCTCATGCCACTGGCAGTAAATGGAATATTAATTAATAAACAATATTCTGAGATATCACTGCATTGTTATTTCTTCATGGTCAGAACCTTCCTTCTATTTATATCTTCCACACGTTGGAAAGTATGAGATGTGCCTCATAGGTTACTTCTATATACAGTAAGTATAAACAGTGTATCTGATAGATTATCTCAATATAAGAAGAGGGAAGCCAGGCCTGGTGGCTCAATACCTATAATCCCAGCTACTTATGAGGCAAAGATTAGGAGGATTGTAGTTCAAGGGCATCCTGGATAAAAAATTTGTAAAATCTCATCTCAATCAATAAAGATGTATGTGGACTCGTGCCTGTCACTTCAATTATGTAGGAGATATAAAGACAAGGATGGTGTACCAGGCTGGCCCAGGCAAAAACATGGGACTCTACTGAAAAGTACCTAACCAAAGAGGGCTGTGAAAAAGTTCAAGTGGTAGAATGCCCACCCAGCAAGTATGAGGTCCTGAACTGGTAAGAACACATGTTGAATTTACAACCCTTTTTTTCCCAAATGATTATAATGTTCACATAGAAAGTGTCATCAACTGTACTTAACAGATAAGCAAATGGCATAAGGTTATATACTGTGTTCCTTCCCAATCTGGTCAACAAAAGAAAAATGTTTAACAAACAGTACCTCAGTCTTCCCACATTCATCAGGCAGATCCTGGTGTATGGTCATTTGATACTTGACATATAAAGAAAAGGATTGGTTGAAGGACGACTTGAACTCTGGGTCCTCAAAGGAGACAGGTACTAACCTCACCTTCAGAGCAAGGAAAATAACAAGCAAATGCTATTGAACCAACAACTCTTATTATCTCAGGATATGCTTCTGAAGGTGAGGCTAGCGTATGATCTCCACAAATCCACTTCCAAAGCTCAGTGGTGGAATCCAAAATGAAACCCCGGAATGGCTGCCTGGCACAGAGCCTGAGAGCTAACTTTGCACCAATTTGTAGGAAGGCCTTAAACTCAGAAGGGTCTAGACAGCTTATTTTCTTTTTTTTCTAGTTTTCTCTATCCATCTGCTGTAGGTTCTGTTGCTGTGATCATGGCTACTACTTTTGCTACCTCTACTTAATATATATTAAGTGTTTTAAGGGTTGTTTTTTTCCCTTTCTAGATGTTTCTTGGATTTGATTTATAAAATTATAAGCATGTATCTATTAAAATGCTGCATTGTCTTACTTTTCTAATCTCATTCAGTTATGCGTGAGTAGCACATTAACAAAGAATAATTTAGATGTTACAAACTCTTTCCCAACATGATTTTTAAAGCATGGGCAAAGCATGCTTACCAGAAAAATATACATTTTTTTCTCACAGGTGTTTAACTTGGAGCCCTATCAGTAACATGCAAATAAGTAAGTCCAGAAATTTCAAATAGAGGTCATTTTACATGTTATTCTCCATTTTGAGATTATTTATGACTGGCACTTGACATGATAACAAGTAAAATTTGCACTTTCAGAATGTCCGTGAACTCACAGAGCTCTCAGTCCAGACAAGCTGTAAACTGAACATAAAGTGTAGCACAAATAGACCAAGATCATACACAATGAAGCACAGGGAAGGTTCTGCTTGCACAGAAAAAGGACAACTGGCCTGCTGACCTGGCTCACAGTTGGTTTATCAGGTGGGTCCTTGTGAATAACCATCTGGTAACGTTTATAAACTTGGTAAGACTCCTGAAATGTGGCTTTGAATTGAGGACTTGGTGGAGATGATCTCACCACCCTCACCTTCAGAAGGAGTTAAAAACAAGGCTCATTAATTCACTCATTCATTCATTCTGAGCAACAGGCATTAGCACTTACTCCCATTCAAGACAAACTAATTGCAATAAACCATGAACATATACATAAAAAGATCATCTAGTTAGTAAATAAAGAAAAAAGAGCTATTTTTGCACGCTACAGACTTCTTAAAAAGACAAAGGAAAATTCTTCTAAACTCTGAAGTCTCTTCTGATGACTAAATTATGTAAACTTTTTTAAAACTGGCAAGATCCTCCCTGATTAGGTAAAACATACACATTTTTACTCTTTAAATATGGATATATACAATTCGTAAACTCACCACTAGTGAATCAGTAGGGAGAATTAAAAATAAAAATTAAATATAAAAATATAATATAGTATAACACATAAAAATAAGACTTAAAAACATATATATACATAGACATACATATATATACATATGTATATATATATACACACATGTATATATATACATATACATATATATATATATATATATATATATATGTTGCATTCCCCACCCCCATTTCCCCAGTTGAGGGACTTGAACTCAGGAAATGGGCACTGTCCCTAAGCTCCTTTTGCACAAGGCTAGCATTCTACCACTTTGAGCTATAGCACAACTTCTGGTCTTTCTCTAGTAGTTAACTGGAGATAAGAGTCTCATGGACTTTCTTGCCAAGGCTGACTTTGAATTGCAATCCTCAGATCTCAACCTCTTGAGAGGCTGGGTGAACTACTAGTGCCCAGCCTTTGTGACTATATTTTTGGGACACTTTTATTCATTATTACTAAACATACAACTGTGTAAGAATTTTTCAAAAACAATTTTTAAGGAGGGGGAAGTAGTTGTGGATGAGGGAGGGAAGCAATGGTAGGGAGAAAACGAGGAGGAGGCAACAGTGCTTGATAGGAAATGCACTCATTACCTTGCTCATGTAACTGTAACCCCTCTGTACAGTATTTTTATAATAAAAATGTACAAAAAATTTTTAAATCCCTTACAAAGTGTCCCTACTTTGCAACATAGTTAAAAGTGAAGACTCTAGAGTTGGATTTCCTTTGGTCAGATCTTATGATGTCATTACCTTGATCAAGTAAATTAACTTCTTCGTGCCTTACTTTTCTGTTATGTAAAATGAGAAGTTTAAATGTATATTTGTACACAGTATTGGCTAACACCTACTAGCCAGTTAAAATGTATTAGCAAAACAGAAAAGTAAATCAAAATTAAGTGCAATACAATAAATATATAGCTAAACAGGTCATGTGTGCCACAAGGAACATGACAACATCCTGGATATCACTGAATTGAAAAAGAGGAAAGTCACTGTGAAGTATGATTGATTTTTTTGACTAAGTTACTGTTTATGATCAAAAGATAAAAGCCTAGTCATAAAATATTCCAAGTAGTATGTTCAAGTCTCTTTACAATTCTAGTAGAGTCAATACCAAAATCAGAGTAGCAAGTTGTTAAAATAAAATTTGTATCTGATAATATGTTTACAGTTCTTAGGCTTAGCATGCATCAAAATTAATTTTTAGTATCAAGATTTACATTAAGTAACATTCTTAAAAAGTACTAAGTTGTCAATTCAAAGGCATACAAATTACAGATCAGATGAGAACATTTGTAAACCACTATGGTTACTATTTTAGGAAAAGTAATGCATTTGAAATTAATACTAAGAAATACAATTTGATCTAGAAATGTAAACCAATTAGAAAAGCAGAGATTTAGCTATAACAAATACATTATATACCTAATTGATTAAAAATACTTAATGCAGGGCTGGGAAGGTGGCTCAGTGGTAGAGCGCTTGCTTTGCATGCCTGAGGCCCTGGGTTCGATTCCTCAGCACCACATAAGCAAAAAGAAAAAAGCCGGAAGTGGCGCTGTGGCTCAAGTGGTAGAGAGCTAGCCTTGAGCTGAAGAGCTGAGGGACAGCGCTCAGGCCCAGAGTTCAGGCCCCACGACCAGACCCAAAAAATAAAAAAATAAAAATACTTAATGCAGATGATTTCAATAGTGTAACCTAGAATCATTAGCTAATTCTGATGTGGCACCTTGCACAAGTGACAGAGGTTCAATAACAGAATATGTAACAGATAAAACTGATTTGCCTAGTGTCATCTAGTCCTGTCCTACAGAAACTTATCTTTTACTATCTAAATTTCTTAAATAAAATATTAAAGAGTATTTGTAACTTATTTCTAACCAAGGGATACAAAGTATCCTTTGTTGCTAATGTTGCTAATGAACGTAAAAATCAGAATTGTCCACACAATTATAGTAGCCAGTTTCCTAGTATATTTGCAAAAATCTCTTTTTAAAAATGTCTCAAGCTGGGTGTTGGTGGCTCACGGCATGTAATCCTAGCTACTGAGGAGACTGAGATCTGAGGATCGAGGTTCAAAGCCAGCCGGGGCAGGAACGTCCTTGAGACTCTAATCTCCAATTAACCAACAGAAAACCGGAAGTGGCACTGTGGCTCCAGGGTAGAGCACTTGCCTTGAGCTGAAGAGTTCCAGGCCCAGAGTGCAAGACCCACAACCAAAAACAGAAAAAAAAAAGTCTCAAATAACAGTTACCTTAGTAAATACAAATGCTATTCTGTCCCAATTCCTTTTAGTTAAAACATCACAATTCTCTTTAAGAAAATATCAAATGACAAACATAAATTCAAAGAAAATAAACAAGGTACTAACAAAAAATGAAAACTAGAACAATCCAAAACCTCCACCAGTACCTCTAATTTGTGTGATGCATTCTCTGGTAAAGATTCAAAAATTAAATCTTCAAGTGATTTGGGCTGGTTGGATTTAGTCTTTGATGGGAACAAAGATGGTGTCTGACCCTGAGCTTGGAAACTCTCAAATGCTCCATCTGGGTTTTGTTGCATGAGTTTTAACCTTTTCCTTTCTTTCCGGATTTCCTTTGCTTTTCGACATGGAGGCTTGCTCAAATCAGCCCCTTTGCCTATGAAGAATTGCAAAATAGTAGGTCAGTGACATTTGGCTCCAGAACTGCTTTTCCAAGCGTCTCATATAGACTACAGAATAAATCCACAAGATTCTAACAGTTCACTTAACTCTGCTGTAGATGTTTCACAATGTTCTGGTATAAAGCTCTATTAATCTTAAAATTCTACCTTAGAGAGGAATTGCTGAAGAAAGCAAACAGACACAGAAACTTTTAAGGCAGTTCTTACTGTTGAGAATCTTCTACTATTTATGAATACAGTTCTAGTACACTAGCTAAATGTGGTGGCACAGGACTATAATCCCAACATTCAAGAGGCCGAAGTAGGAGGATGGTTAGTCAAAGAGCTATAGAGTAAAGGACATATAGCAAGGTCCAGCTCAAAAAAAGAAAGAAGCAGGGACACTGGTGGTTATAATCCTAGCCACTCAATCTAAGAGGTTTGCTGTTAAAGGCCAATCTGGGCAGGAAAGTCCATGTGACTCTTATCTGACAAAACAAACAGAAAATAAAAAAAGAAGTAAGGGAAGGGAAGGAAGGGCAGGGAGGGGAAGGAAGGGAGGGAAGAAGGGGGGGAAGAAAAGAAAGGAAGGTAAGGAAGGAAGGAGGGAAGGAAGGGAGGGAAGGAAGGGAGGGAAGGAAGGGAGGGAAGGAAGGGAGGGAAGGGAGGAAGGAAAAGTCTCCAAGATTCCTACAGTTTAAGACAGTCTCCAAGTACTAATGAGAGATATCCTTAGGGAAACAAACTGCAAAAAGTCGTGTTTTCCTTTGTTTTTGTCCTCTGTGATAGTGTCTATATAGATCAGACTGTTTTAGAACTTGCCATCCTCTTGTCTCAGCCTCTAGAATACTAAGATTATAGGCTGTAGTTACTAATAATCTCTCCTTGGATCATTTTCTTAACAGATGACAAATAATTCAAAAATTATCAAAACCTCAGTTTACAAAAAAATATTTTGAAAAAGTCATAATCATAAGGGGTGTGTGTGTGTGTGTGTGTGTGTGTGTGTGTGTGTGTGTGTGTGTGTGTGCACGTCCCATTTAATGTTGAATATTTTTATGCCTAAGTCTTTGGTAACTAAGAGTATAGGAAAAAATTTTACTTTATTAAAGATGAAATTAAGCATTAAATTCTCAGAACATTAAACTAAAAATTATTATAATTACACTTAAAAGTTAATGAAAAATTAAGAGTTTCACAATGTCTATATTTTGGACAAAATATCAATTATTATTATTACTCTCACACTACCATATAATAATGCTTATCATACCTTTTCAGTAACAAGATTAAATTCTCAAACCTAAAAGTCTATAAGGTAGTAAAATGAAACTCTTACAATATTTGTATTTTGGGAAAGTAAGACTAATATTTCAAGTGTTTTATAAGTAGTAGGTGTGTGTGTGTATGTGTACATACACGTGCCTGTACTGGTGCTTAAACTCAGGGACTGTGTACTGTCCCTTAGCTTTTTCCAATCAAGGCTAGCACTCTACCACTTGAGCCACAACTTTAGTTCAACTTTTTGATTGTTAACGAGTCTCACAGATTTTCCTACCTTAGCTGGCTTTGAACCTCACCACTCAAATCTAAGCACCCTGAGTAGATAAGGCTACAGGCATAATCCATCAGTGCTTAGCTTTGCATAGTAGTTTTTTTGTTGTTATTGGTCATAGGGTTTGAACTCTGGGCCTGGGCGCTGTCCCTGAGCTCTTCAGCTCAAGGCAAACGCTCTACCACTTGAGCCACAGTGCCACTTCCAGTTTTCTGGATAAGAGTCTCATGGACTTTCCTGACCGCTCATACCTGTAAATCCTAGCTATTCAGGAAGCTGAGATCTAAGGATTGAGGTTCAAAGCCAGCCCAAGCAGGAAAGTCCCTTAGACTCTTATCTGCAATAAACTACCAGAAAACTGGAAGTGGCACTGTGGCTCAAGTGGTAGAGCGTTCACCTTGAGCTGAAGAGCTCAGAGACAACGCCCAGGCCCAGAGTTCAAGCCCTGGGACCAACAAAAAGACATAATCAAAGATAGGTCTGGTGTACATGCCTACACTCCCAGCACTCAGGAAGCTTAGATAGGACGATTGTGAGTTCGAAGTCATCCTGGAATACATAATAAGACTATCTAAATTCCTAATAGTAAGTTATATAAGGCCAAAATCAGTGCTACAGATTTCATAGACAGGTCTGTCTTCAGGCAGACAGCAGAGCCCAGGAATTATAATGAGTCACACTAAAAGAACAGACACTAATATAACATTAATAACAAATGTTTCTTACCTGGCTTGGGAACTACATGAACTTTAATTGAATGTGACGGCTCACCAGAGCCCAACTTCTCTTCTATAGCTTGTGAATTAATTAATTCCTTAGAGTCTTCTTTCTTTGAAGTTTTTTCTTTCTTCTTCTCTTCACTCTTTAGGCTTTCTTTTAGATCATCACCAAGTGTTTTAAGATCACACTTTATATCCAATTTATTTATTAATGCAAAGTCACCTGTAACAGCATCCTCCATTGCAGAATCCATGGGCTCATCTACAAACCAGAATCAAAAAAGCCCATCAGCCAGGTTATCTGGCCCAGTCCACCGAAGCAGAGTACCCCTATTGTCCATGATGGCAGGGACAGCTGGGTGTCCACCAAACCTACTCTCTTGCTTCCAAAGCACAAAGCTACAGAAGAGCTATGGCACCCTGGCAAGAGAATGGGTTATCAGTCCCTATGCATGTTGGGAAGAAGCTCCCAACAATGGGAGATAACACACGTAACATGTCTACTAGTTTTTCACTTGTTTTAAGGAAAAATTCGAACCTAGGATTTCACCCTTTCCCCTCCCCACTGTCTAGAATATGAAAAACCAAAGCCATCTTTACACATCAAAATTGAGGGAGTCCCAGAATGGCTTTTGAGCACAGTAGGGCAACTCGGGACCCATACAAGACTGTTATGCAAGGAAGGAATACACCACTATCACTGATCAGTCACTAGATTTCCATGTTTTCCTCTTATCTATTTAGGATGTTACAACATCAGTCCAGTGAATTAAGCTCCAGACCCAAAGAACTCAGAAGCCCACAAGTCAAAAATGATCCAAATGTAAAATCTAAGTTAAAACAGTCAACCATCAATTTACAAATGAACTGCATCCTCAAATGTTATCTGCACACCCTGAAAACATTACAGGACAGAATAGGAGAAACTCTAGGGCTCCTTGGCACAGGCTGAAATTTTCTTAATAAAGACCCTGAAACACAACAAATCAAAGAAAGGTTGGACAAATGGGATTGCATGAAAGTATAGAGCTTCTGCATGGCAAACGATATAGCTAGCAAGACCAATTGAAAGCCCACAGATTGGGAGAAGATCTTCACTAGCCATACAATGGACAAGGGTCTCATATCTAATTAGAACTCAAAAAACTAAATCTCCCAACAACAAATCCTCAAAGAAACAACCGCCTGATAAATAAATGGGCCGGGAGCCAGTGGCTCACGCCTATAATCCTAGCTACTCAGAAGGCTGAGATCTGAGGATCACGGTTCAAAGCCAGCCCAGGCAGAAAAGTCCGAGAGACTTTGATCTCCAATAAAAAAACACTAGAAAACTCGAAGTGGAGCTGTGGTTCAAGAGGTAGAGCACTTGCCTTGAGCTAAAGAGCACAGAGACAGTGCCCAGGCCCAGAGTTCAAGCCCCACAACCGACAAAAAAAAAAAAGAGAGACAGACTTCTCTGAAGAGGAAATAAGAATGGCCAAAAAACACATGAAGAAATGCTCAACTTCTCTATCCATAAAAGAAATGCAAATCAAAACAACATTGAGATTCCACCTCACCCCAGTTAGAATGGCTATAATCAAGATATCTAATTATAACAGATGCTGGAGGGGATGTGGCCAAAAGGGACCACTACTGCATTGTTGGTGGGAATGTAAACTTGTTCAACTACTTGGGAAAGCAGTATAGAGGTTCCTCAGAAGACTCCACATAGAGCTCCCCTATGACCCAGCAATACTACTTTTGGGCATTTACCCGAATGATCACAAACAAGGCTATTTTAAAGCTACCAGCACAACTATGTTTATCACAGCATTATTTACCATAGCCAAGATATGGAACCAATGCAGATGCCCCTCAGTAGATGAATGGATCAAGAAAATGTGGTATATATACACAATGAAATTCTATGCCTCCACAGAAAGAATGACATTTCCCCATTTGTTAGGAAATGAAAAGACTTGGAAAAATTATATTAAGTAAAGTAAGCCAGGCCCAAAAAAACATAGGTCCCATGGTTTCCCTTATTTGCAATAACTATAGCCGGGCTCTGGTGGCTCACGTCTGTAATCCTAGCTACTCAGGAGGCTGAGATCTGAGAATCCTGGTTCAAAGCCAGCCAGGGCAGGAAAGTCCGTGAGACTCTTATCTCCAAAAACCTGTAGAAAACCAGAAGTGGCACTGTATCTCAAGCGGCAGAGCGCCCACCTTGAGCTGAAGAACTGAGGGATAGTGCTCAAGCCCAGAGTTCAAGTCCCACGACCGACAAAAAAATAAAAAAACTATGTACGTCTAGGTCAAGCAGAAAAGGTCAAAAGCTAGGTACATTTGACTATATAAGATGATGTTAAGTGAAATGAAGCCCAAGACAGGGACACAAGTGGTTTTTTCTTTCCTGCTATTGTTTTTAACATATTTATAATGCACTATGTGATTTTTTGTTTCTTTGGTATGTTCTTTCCCCACAGTAATAACCCCCGTTTTCACTGTATTTCATGTCAGTGCCCTGCATCTTGTATATACATTTTTATAATTTGGGGAGGGGAAGGGAAATAACAAAATGCTTTAACAAGGATATAGGTTGACCCATTGTAACAATGAGACATACAAGACACTATGTTGAAAACAAACTTTACAACTTGGCGGGGTGGGGGGGTGGGGAAGGAGTTGGGGAGGTGGGGAGGGAAAGGATGCTAGGGGGAAAAAAAAAGGAGGATGTAACAATGCTGGATAGGAAATGTACTCATTACCTTACTCATATAACTAACCCCTCTGTACAGTATTTTTACAATAAAAAACATAAAAATGTTATCTGCACATTAATTTTCAACTTTGCAACATGATTGCTAGACACCAAAAAACTGTATATTGACAGCAAACAAAATTAACTAAACCTACAAAACTATGTACATATAATAATCAAAACTGCACCAAAATTCTGTGATTTCCAATTCTGTAACTGGAAATAAACCTCTAAAGCTACGTATTTTGACCTCTTCATTGCCTCCAGCTTGGCCAAGTGTTTTCCAAGTTGTCCTGAATCCTAGTCCATTAAGGGCTTCCATGCACTGTACATTAAGGTGAAGTATTTACCTGCCTTGCAAGGCACGGTACCTACCTCCAAGTACATAAAGCAGTGATTGAGACACGGAATATATTCAAACATTACTTGTGAGATGAGTCAATGAGCAAAGGCTAGGCAGGAGGTCCCCAAGGTCAGGTGTTTCCTATGACTAGCACTCCCAATTCTTACACTCATATTTAAGGTACTAGTTATAGAAAAACTTAAAAAAAAAAACACACAAATACTAATCTGGAAAAGCAAAATATCTAGAAACAAGTTAATTAAATGCTACTATTTATCTTTAGGAAAGTCATTCATAATTCAAGATTTATCAGGTAACTGAGAAACACAGGTTCAGACAATATAATGTACTGAAATAATGCACATGCATACAAAGAAACCCTAATACCGCTAGCATTCATGGGGCTTCTTCAATCCTGTAGACCTTTTGCACCTAAGCATTGCTTTCTCCAGAGATAAGAGGATTTTCTATTTAGCTCATAGAGACACTGCTAGAAGCAAGTAAGATGAGTTATTAAGCTATTTGGAAAACAAAAATTTCAACACCATGCAAGAAACCCCAAATACCATCCAAGGCACACAGAATGTCTTGGCAGGTATTCTCTGTACCCAACTTGGGTGCCTGGAGAAAGCAATGGCAGTGCTAGTAGTACCACAGCACCAAGTACAGGATGGCGGTAACCCCTTTGTCTACGTTAAGTGGTGTAAAAGTGATACCCTTGGAAAGAGAAGTTAAAGTAAACAGATTTTAGAGGTGGTCTCATCTTACCCTCACAATTTCCTTTGGAAACCTCCCCTTTCACCAGAAACTTCAACATTTTTTTCAAAACTTTCTTGTGAGATTTTGATGGCTGGAACTCCAAAGGATGGCACCTAGAAAAGCATAACAATATTTTTTTAAGTGAATTAAAGCTTTGAAAAAGATCAGTTCTGGGTTGAATCTAGCACATGGAGGCAATCTCATACTTGGGATTTTTAATGTAGCCTCTACTCTGACTCAAACTCTCAATAAGCCTACAGTTGAGGGAGAAAGCAAAAGACAGCAAGACAGGCACGCACACAGCATGCATGCGCGCGCACACACACACAAGGGATATTTGTACATCCATATTCACTGCTACACTGTTCTATGATAGCCAAGTTATGGAAACAGCCCAGATGCCCTTCAATAAGTGAGAGGGTCAAAATATATGATACATATAAACAATGGAATTTTATTCATCCATGAGAAAGAATAATAATGTCATTTTCAAGAAAATAAGATGGACCAGTCATGTTAAGTAAGCTAACTGCATATGTGGAGGCTAGATCTAAAATATAACTGAATGTGATACTAAAGAAGACTAAAGAAGGATACTCTTAGGGGAGGAACCTAACGGTCTAACTATGAAATGTTAAAATGAACATTTAAAATAATATGTATCAGACTGGTGCTGGTAGCTCACACCTATAATCCTAGCTACTCGGGAGACTGAGATCTGAGGATCACAGGTCAAAGCTATCATGAGCAGAAAAGTCCCTAAGATTCATCTCCAATAAACTACTCAGAAAAACACAGAAGTGGTGCTGTGGCTTAAGTGGTAGAATGCTAGCCTTAAGCAAAAGCTCAGGGACAGCACCCAGGCCCTGAGTTCAAGCTCTAGAATTGGCAAAAAAAAAGAAAGAAAAAGAAAAAAGAGGGAAAAAAGAAAAAGAAAAAACTATCAAAATGTGTTCTAGAAAATGAAAGTGAGTTTTTTTGTTATAGGTGATTGTAGTGGTGGTGGTGATGTTTTTGCTTTAGTTTTTTTTTTTGTTGGGGGGGGGAGGAGTGGGGGAGGGGAGACTTTTTTAGGGGAATAGTGAAAGTGTATAGAAAGGGAGGGAGAAGGTAAACAAATGTAGTCATGATATTCGGTATACACTATGTGAAAAATGATCTATGTAACTTATGGCCATGGATGGAAGGAGGAAACTGGAGGAAAGCTAAGGAAGGGATGATATTGTCCATAAAAAAAAAATGTACTCATTACCTGACTTATGAAATGGTAACCCTCTGTACAACACTTTAATAGTAACATTTTTTATTGTAAAAATACTGTACAGAGGGGTTACATGAGCAAGATAATGAGTACATTTTTTTATCAAGCATTGTAGCCTCCTCCTTTGTTTCCCCTTCCCATCCTCCCTCCCACCCCCCACCCAATAGTAGCATTTTTTAAGGCAACTGATTTATCTAGTTTATATACACTGAAAATGAAAATGAATACATTCAAAATGTTGTTTATTTTTATTTTCATTTTTTTTTGTTGGTTGTAGGGCTTGAATTCAGGTCCTGAGTGCTATACCTGAGCTTCTTTGTGCTCAAGGCTAAAATAAAGCATTCTACCACTTGAGCCATAGCACTCCCAGTTTTTGAGTGGTTAACTGGAGATAAGGAGTCTCACACAGACTTTTCTGCCCAGTCTGGCTTTGGACAGCAATCCTCAGATCTCAGTCTCCTGAGTAGTAGGATTACAGGCATGAGCCACTAGCGCCAAGCTTTATTTTTCACATTTGCTCCAGGGAGGGAGAACCTTAAATCGAAGGAGAGAAAATTCTTCTCTTTTAAGGTGGAACGAATGAATACAAAGACAACCCCCAAGATTATCCAAGTCAAGCAAATAGACAGTTTTAACTTAAGTCTTACATTAATAGCCGGGCGCCAGTGGCTCATGCCTGTAATCCTAGCTACTCAGGAGGCTTAGATCTGAGGATCGCGGTTCAAAGCTGGGCAGGAAAGTCCATGAGACTCTTATCTCCAATAAACCACTAGAAAACAGGAAGTGGCGCTGTGGCTCAAGCAGTAAAGTACTTGCCTTGAGCTGAAGATTGCAGGGACAGTACCCAAGCCCAGAGTTCAAGCCCCACAACCAACAAAAAAATGCATTTTAAATATGTGACAGATTAGGTTTAAAGACTCCCACCACTATAGGATCCTGTTGTAGATTATAAGCACTACAAGCAATACATTAAAATGTGGAAAGGTCCTTTGCTAAGTACTATAAGCATTTCCCAGCATTCATTGACTAGACAGCCAAATAGGACAAAAAGATACTTTTCATATCATATTTGTATCAAGACCAATTGAAAATTATTAGGAGCTACTAACAACATTTTCAAAGCAGAATTTTCATCTTAAAATCATACAACATCTTCACAGTATAGATTTCCTTTGTATTAATTAGGAACCTTACCTTATTGTGTACTGAGGACAGCATGTTTGATTCATGACAGGTTTGTACACATACTTCCCACTTCTAAAATTACAAAAATAACTTGTTAATATTTTACATACTCTATCTGTACCTAAACAGATTCTCATAGAGAAGCACTAAATAAGGGCAAAAATCTAACCAACAGTATAATACATATTTAGATTTAAATGCTCCTTATAACCTAAATAACCTTGCAAACAAGTATACCAAAGACCAGACAAAGCCTTTTCTTCCTGAAACCTTGAGGAAAGGTAGGCTAAGTCAGAGCTCTGTTAACGTCTCACCTGCCAACAACACACCAAACAGTAGAAAACTGCCCATGCCACTGGAGGACTGATGAATGCTGCTGGAGTGACAGCCACACTGGAAGCTCATGTGTGCCGGTACAAAGTACCACAAAACTATCATGAGTCTTGTATGAAAGGAGAGGTTAGTACTCCCCTTGACAAGGATGGAAGCGGCCCTTGGGCCTGATAACATGCATACGGTTAAGGGACTGTCACCCACTTCCTGGCTTCTAACCACCATTTTCGCATTGTTTCCCCCATTTGTAATAACTAGAATACATCTATGATATTCTTAATGGGGAACAATAGCTAAGTGCATAGGACCATCTATAATAAAAGTGTATCAACATGAACTCCAGGAATTGGAAACAAGAGGTTCTTATTATGCCCTATTTGTAGTTTTTTTTTCTGTTTTAGTTTTCTGTATCCTTTGTCTTGTATATAAGTTTATCTGTCCATGAAAGGAAAGGGAATCACAGAAACAGCAAGACAAAGGATGAACTAATGCAATCGTGATACCCACTAGATACTACGTTGGAAAAGAACTATAACAACTTAGGGGCAGGAGAGTAGGAGGCTACAAGTAAGCAGGAGAAAATGAGGGAGAGGGTAACAGTGTTTAAAAAGAAATGTAAGCCAGGCACCAGCGGCTCACACTTATCTCCAATAAACTGCTCAGAAAATCAGGAGTGGCACTGTGGCTCAAGTGGTAGAGCAGTAGCCTTGAGCTGAAGAGCTCAGGGACAGCGTCCAGGCCCAGAGTTCAAGCCCCCCCCAAAAAAAGCCTGGCGCTGGTGGCTCACACATATAATCCTAGCTACTAGTCAGAAAGCTGAGATCTGAGGATCACCAGTCAAAACCAGCCTGGGCAGGAAAGTCTGTGAGATTCCTATTTCCAATTAACCACCAGAAAACTGTGGCTCAAGTGGTAGAGCACTGACCTTGAGCTGAAGAGCTAAAGGACAGCACCTAGCCCCAGAGTTCAAGCCCCAGGACTGAAAAAAACTGTACTCATTACCTGACTGTAACCCCCCTTTCTCCTCACCTTGACAATAAAAATATTAAATTAAAAAAAACTAGCATGATTCTTTCTAGGTACTCCAGATCCCGGCTAATGGTAGACATTCAGTTTTCAGGCCAGAAACCTGACAGTTATTTTAGACTATTTCCTCCGATTACCCTCAATTTCCTCTCATGGGATTTCTATATGTGAACTGCATCTTTAATTACTGCCACTAAGCCAGTAGTCCCCAGCCTTTCATGTCCTGATATGCCTCCATGGTCACCAGCCAGTCTGTCATCTAAAAATAACCTTTTCCATGCTTCTCACTTTTATAAAATCCTTCAGTAGCTGCTCCTTAATTTTAAGAAAAGGGATACAGGGGCTGGGAAAGTGGCTCAGTGGTAGAATGCTTGCCTTACATGCATGAGGCCCTGGGTTCGATTCCTCAGCACCACATAAGCAAAAAGAAAAAAAAGTCAGAAGTGGCGCTGTGGCTCAAGTGGTAAAAAAAAAAAAAAAAAAAAAAGGGATACAAAATCACTGGATACAAAGCACTTCCATATCTGACTTACATCTATTTACCTTTTGAGTCTCACTATTAAGTTTAAAGAACACTGTAACATTTTAATTGCTAGATGCAATCCCATGTATTTTAGAGAATATTGGCTCTGAGTATTTTATGTTGCTAGTATTTACATAAGGCAAAAAGTCCTCCACATAAAATCAACAAACTATTAAAATTTGAAACAAAGAAAACCTAATAAAAATGTAGTAAACAGGTAACATTGAAGAATTTTATTAATATTATAAGATATACCAAGATACTGCAGACATGTCTCAAAGCTACACATGTTGAGCCCTTGACTACTTCATAAACATGCTAGTTAGTGTTAGAGTCAGCTATGAAAAGACATCTACGCTCCACTGCCAAGACCACAATGAAACAAAACCAACAAAAAAGCAAAAATAGATTGATTTCTCTCTAAGAGATAGACATATTACAGGTTTATCAATAGCTATCTGAAATAATAAGGAAATACAGATTAGTCAAAAAAGATGAAAATCAAATACATATAAAATTTTCTGTAAAGTACTCTGGGAATGAGGGAATATACAGAGACTAAATGAAGTAAGACAGGCAGAATTTTAAATACTGGAAGATTAATGATAGAACACAAGGTTACTTACAATGTACTCTCCTTCTGTGTGTTTTAAATTTTTCCTGATAAAATTTCCCAAGAACAAAATCATCATGCAAAAGAATAAATATTTTCTCTAACCGTTTTCTATGGTTGTTCTTTTCTGTTTCGAATGGTTTGAGATTTTTTTAAAAAAACCGTACATAGCGCAGGCTGGCCTCAAACTTTCAATCCTCCTAACTCATCCTCTCAAGTGTTAGGATTGCAGGATTATGCTACCACATGGAAACAATGAGCATTTTCTTTTCTTTTTTGTCAGTCGTGGAGCTTGAACTCTGGGCCAGGGAGCTGTCCCTCAGCTTTTCAGCTCAAAGCAAGTGCTCTACCACTAGAGCCACAGTGGCCACTTCCAGCTTTTTCTGTGTATGTGGTGCAAGGAATCGAACGCAATCGAACGCAGGGCCTCATTCATGCAAGACAAGCACTCTACCACTGAGCCATCTTTCCAGCCCAAAATGAGCATTTTCTTAAACTTCTTCCCAACACAAGAAAATATTTTAGAGAGAATGATGGAAAGGGTGACAATGATCAAGATGAACTGTACACATAAACTGACATGTTGAATTAAAACCCCTTTGCGTAACTATTTAAACAAGAGTTAATGTTAAAGAACAAATTTTAATGAGAATATTTTAAAGGCAAACCCTACTTTTCAATGATAAGAACAACCTGAAGAATAGCAGAAAGTGTATTTGCTATGAAGAGCCTTACCTTCTCCATCCTCGATCTATAAGATCTTGATAATCCCGTACTGTCATAGAATGTGCCCACATGCCTAAATAAATAAATGGTATGTTAATTACAACAGACTTACTTTTTTATAGTTCACAATATTATTTTAAATAGGCTAAAATTCTACAGCACTCACATTGGAGAAATGAAAATTTGTATATATTCACATTTGTTAGTTTGACATAATATACAACATAAATAAAAGATTTATCTTAAAACCAAGTACACCAAAGTGATTACAATTAGGGATTAGTCAATAACCTTTCTGGTTTCATAAATCTGGATCCTTCCTAGAATCAAACTGTGTCACACTGTGCAACTTTAATAACATCCCCCAAGAGTTAATACACTAGTCTCTTCAAAATTAGAAAGCCACTTTTTTTTAGTGCACATTAGTTCCAAAACTCTATATGCTTATATACACAGCAGTCTTGAACGTTAGAACAGGACAAATATACAAATACATAGAAATACTCCAAAGTGAAAACACTGAAAAGTAACCTCGAACCCTATTATGGGGCAGAAATAAATGCCCAGTACACAGCAGGCAGACACTGACACCCACAAGTAATTCGGTGAGCCTCAATCCCATTCTCTGTAAGATGGGAAAAGGAATACTCACCTACCCAACAGATTGGTACCCTATGATAAAGATTAAAATTGAAATTGAAATGACAGAAATTTATATTTTCTGTAGATGAAAAGATTGAATGCAGGTATCTTCAAAACTTGAAACAGGACATTTATGTTAACCAATTTTCTCTTACTAAAACTATTGGGAAAAATAATAACTGTTTCACACATGTAATTCTAGCTACTCAGGAAGCTGAGATGAAAGTGGTTCAAAGCCAGTCCAAGCATGAAACTCTTATTGCCAATAAAGCTATTCCCCCTCCCCTCCACCCCCACCCCTGCCCAAGGAAGCCTGAAATGGAGCTATGGCTCAAGTGACACAGCGCAGGCCTTGACAACAAAAGCTCAGACAGCGACCAGGCCCTGAGTTCAAGCCCCAAGACTGGCAAGAAAAAGGAAAAGAGAGAGAGAATGAGAACTCAGGCCCTACTAAACTATTTCAGACATGTTTTAATACAACATTAATCATTTGGATACTAGGGTCACAAGAAAACTTCTGTCACTCTAGGCCAAACACTAGTTGACGGTGCTTCTCCAGGGTCTCTCTCTGTACAGTAATGTCATTTGCATCCCGTTACCCTTTAAACCTACCCTGGAAGCCACTTTCCTGATTGTGAAACTGTAATCGTAATTGACAGTCCCTATTTTCCCAGCAGGGGTACTTGAACTCAGGACCTCCAGCTCACCCTAGTCTTTTTCCCTAGAGGGTGGTGATTCAACACTTTTGCCATCACAACCACTTCCGGCCTCTTGCCGATCGACCGGAGATAAGAATTACCACGCTGGCTCCCACCCGGGATCCCCAGAGCTCAACCTCCTGAAACAGCCCGGGGCTGCTATCCTCGCGACCCACCACCTCCCGCCAGATCAGCACTGCGGACGACTGCCCAGGGCCGAGGCCCACAGCGGCACCTAATAAAAAAAGGACACACCGCAGGCGACAAAACCACCTTCCGCTCATAATCCTTCCATCAAAAAATAATAACAATAAACGCACGCCGCACTATCCCTCTGTTGCCAGGGTCACCCCGTTTCCCACAGTGCCACACCGGCCAAGTTAAAGGAACAGACGCGGCCTCCCAGCTCCGCCAGGGAAAGACGAGGGGACCTTAGCACGACGTTTTGTTTACAAGCGACAGGCCGGCCGGGACGGGAGGAGGCGCCGCACCGCCCCCCGCGGGCTGCCGCGGCCGGGGCGGACGGGCTAAGGCAATCACACACAGCCAATCGGGGCCACCGGGGCTCCCCCGGGCTGGGGCTGCGGCCCGCGACGCGGGGTCAGCGGGTGCCCGTCCGGTCCAGCAGCGCGTGGGGGCACGCGCACGCCTCCCTGCGCCAGCGGCACCGGACGCTCGACGGCCGCGCACCCCCGTGACGCGCGCGTCCCCCCCCCCGGGGCTCCCCAAAACTCGCTCACGGAGCCCGCCGACGCGCGTCATCCCCGTGAGGACCCCCTCGGAGGCGCCTCCCCGCGGAGTCGGCCGCGGGTCCCCTCCGCCTCCCCACGACCCTGACAGCCCGGCCCCTCAGGGGCGCCCCGCGGGGCACGGGCCGGCCGGGGAGCCGCGGCGCCCGGCTTCCCTCGCCCGCCAGCCCGGCTCGCTCACCATGGGAGCGACTGCCCGACTCGTTCTTGCAATAGCCGCAGCGGTAGAAGTCCTCGCCCTCGAAATACTCTACGATGCTGGGCGACAGCGCGTTCCACGAAGCCATAGCCGCGGCCGCGCCAGCGCTCCACCGTCTGGCCCGACGCCGCCGCCTCCAACGCCGCCGCCGCTGCCGCTGCCGCCGCCGCCGCCGCCGCCGCCGCCGCCGCCCACAATGCAGCGCGCCCAGGCGTTCCCGAGGCTCGCGCGAAGCCACACGGGAGCCCGCAGGCCCAACCTGGCCTGGCGCCCCAGGGAGCTGACGCCGTCCGCGCCATCTTGACTAAGGGCAGCTTTCTGCTATTTCCGTTGCTTCTCTGGGAGAGGCCGCCATCGTCAGTGAGGGTGAGGCGGCGAGACGGAGCGGGCAGGGCAACGGGCTGGGAAGACACGAGTGGGGAAGGGAAGCTGCAGGCGGGTAGCGGAGCCGCTGTCCCCCCGGCCAGAGGCTGGCCGGAGCGCAGCGGGCGCCCGCGAGGGCCGAGGGTGGGCGCCGCGGCCGCCTCGACGCCGGGACACTCACCGCACGACGCCTTGCCCTCTGTGGAGTCGCAGTAGCCGCAGTGGTAGCCGGCCTTCAGGCCCTTGTACTCCACCACCGAAGCCATGGCCGCCGCGCGGGCCTCGCCGCGGGCCCCGCCTCTCGACGCCCGGGGCTGACCCCGGCGGAGCGGCGGCGGAGCGCGGGGCCCGCGGCGGGAGGGCGGCCGGGCGCCCCGGCTCGGCCCGGCCCGGCGCCGGCGTGGGCGCTAGTCGTGCCTCCGGACACCCCCCCCTCCTCGCTGCCGGTTACCCGCCCGATTCACCGACGAGGAAACCGAGGCCCGGGGTGCTGATCTGCCCCGACAGCTCCCGCAGGTTCAAGTTAACCTTTAACCGCCTGAGCTGCAGCTTCCGACACACCAGCCGGCCCGGGCGCCCACGGGCAAAGGCCCTGGGGCCGGGGAGCCAACCCCGCTTTCTGTTAATGGTCCAAGTTCTAGAACTCAACACTGAACGCTTTGAAAGGAAACCACTGCCGCCTCCAGCCCCTCTGAGCCCTGTGACTGTATCCAGAGACACGCGGAGACTGTAACACGTCCGTATCGTAACATGTTACATTGGGCTTGTAAGGATATTTTTTTGCTATATATATGTGTGTATATATGTGTATATATATATATGCATATATGGCTGAGTTCAACAGAAGTCTCCAGTATGCAACGACTTTGAAAAAATATTGCTATAAAGGTACACAGGGTTAGTGTCACGGAAGTCAGGCAAGGAGTGTCACCCTTCCCTCGCTCTCTCCTCGTTTTTCCCTTCCCTCCCCCACCCACAAGTTGTATAGTTCCTTTTAACATAGTGTGCCGTGAGCACTTGGCTGCATTGTTCCAGCCCTTGTCCCTCCATTTCTGTGTCTCCTATCCTTCTAAAGGTCTCTAAATGAGCAACTCAAGAAAACAAAAACAGCAAAATAAAAGAAAAAGACTTTTTTCTTGTTGGTGTGTGTGCGCGCACGCGTGTGTGTGCCAGTCCTGGGGCTTGAACCCAACACCTCAAGCTCTTGCTTGACTTTTTCTCGCAAGGTTGGTACTCTTACCAGTTGACACCTCCACGTCTGGTTTTTGTTTTTATTTTGTCGTTTGCTGGCTAATTGAATCTCACAAGCTTTTCCGCTCTAGCTGGCTTCTGGCTTGGAGCAGTAATCCTCAGATCCAGGTTTACAAGCATGAGCAAAGAGCACACAGCTCACAAACACTTTTTTTTTTTTTTTAATCTTGCTGGTCCTGGAGCTTGAACTCAGTCTGGGCTCTGTCTCTGAGCTTCTTTTACTTAAGTAAAAGAAGTGGCTAATGCCCTCCACTTGAGCCACAGTGCCACTTCTGTATTTTCCTGAGTATTTCACTGGGGATGAGAGTTTCATGGACTTTCCCTAGGCTGGCTTTGAACTGTGAGCCTCAGATCTCAGCCTCCTGAGTAGCTAGGATTACAGGTGTAAGCCACCAGCACCCAGCTGCAACCACTTTTTTTTTTTCAATCTTTTAAATGCATTTCTTAAATTAAAAAAAATGCTTTTAGATGACTTATCTATGCGTTTGCTATACTGGAAGAATATTTAGGCTTGCCTCCCTACCTCCCTCACACTACTTGTACAAGAGGTGGTTTGGATTGTACCAATCGCATATCTATTTTGTCTAATGTTTTCCTTAACAATGACTCCAAAAACAAATAACCATGATGTCATGAACTTATATGCATTTGTGCAGTATACGTGGTTTTTCTTTTTTTTTAAGTTGTTATAGAAGTGATACACAGTGGGGTTACATTTACATGAATCAGATAATGAATACGTTTCCTTTAGTACCGTGTCATCTGTTCGCTCATTCCTCCCAGTCCTTCCTTCCCATCTCCACCCATGAGTTGTATAGTTCACTTTCATTAGTGTCTAGTGAGCTCCACTGCTGCACTTTTTTCACCCTTTTTCCTCAAGTTCTGTGCCCTTCCCCCAACACACACACCCTCCCAGAGATATACACATGAATACACAGTACATTAGGTAAAGAAAATAGAAAACTAAAAAAGGGGGGGAGGGGGCTGGTTTCAGAATGTGTATTTTATATAAATATGAAGAGGCAGGCATTGCACCTTTTTGATTCCCTCCAAAGAGTATCCTCTTATGGTCTCACTGTGTGTGCATATCCAGAATCCTGTATAATTTATCATATCCCAGAGTTCATCTTAGATCTGATTTCCCCATATCAGAGGGAATACGCACAATTTGTCTCTCTGAGCTTGACTTAACCTCTTCATGATTTGCTCTAGTTCCACCCATTTTATTCTTTTAAAAAAAATAAGCTTTTTATTGTGAAAATACTATACAGAGGGGTTACAATCACATGAGCAAGGTAATGAGTACATTTCTTATCAAGTATTGTTGCCTCCTCCTTTGTTTTTCCCCTATCATCCCTTCCCTCCTATCTCCACAAGACATTCTTTCTAATGACTGTAAAATTCCATTTTATATAGGCACTACATTTTGTTGGATCCACTCATCTATTGTGGGGCTTCTGGGCAGTTTTCATATCTTAACTCTTGTGAATAGTACAGCAATGAACATGGATATGCAGGTGTCCTTATCATATCCTAGCTCATGATGTTCAGGTAAATGCCTAGGAGTGGTATGGCTGTATTATACATAAGGTCTATGTTCAGTTTTGTGAGGAACCTCCAGATTGATGTCTAGAGTGGTACAACAACTTTTTAACAAGGATTGTAGGGCTTCAAAGACTGGGGTAAAGGTGGAGGACATAGTTCAAGTGGCAGAATATCTGCTTAATGTCAATCCCTGAGTTCAAATCTCAGCACTACCAAAAAACAGTCCAGGGAAAGGTATAAAATGAGTGGGGAATTCCCAACAAGGTAGTTATTCTTTGATCTTTCCTGTGTACACAGATAGTTTAAGCCTGTCTGGCATCATAATTTTCCCAGTCAATAATAAAACTGGTCCCCCCTGCCCTCTCCTACTGGGATTGAACTCAGGGCCTCTCATTACTAGGAAGTTCCCCCAGTGCTTTTACTTTTTTAGGTTGTGGAGGGGAAGGTGTTATTTGCTTTTCAGATAGTATCTTTCACTGCCTGGACTGGCCAACTGTGGTCCTCCTAGAAGCTCAGATTATAGGCAGGAACCACCAAACCCGGCCTATTGCCATCCTTCAGCCTCCTGACTGCAGGAATGGTTCTGTGATTATGCATGTATACCACTACACCTAGCTAGAAGTAAACCTGGGAGCCAAGGCCTGCAGTGTTGAACCCGCTGTCATTAGGAACCTAAAGATGGCTATATGCAGCACAAGGTCCACTCCAGGTTTCTGTGTCCTCTGACTCCTTAAAGACTCCATGCTACATGTCAGTGACTGCTCTTATGAAAGCTTTCTTTGTTCTTTATGGCAGGTTTGACTATTCTCAGTCCTTTCCCAACCATTTGGAATGAAAGCAAGAACGTGTTTCATTTTGGGGATGAAACAAAAAGATTGCAGAATGTCATGCTCTAGACAGAAGGTAAGATGATTGTGTTTTTTCTTATACAGTGATTCTCCCCTAATCCATGGCTTTGCTTTTCTTAATTTCAGTTGTCTATCCATGGTCAACCCTGGTGCAAAACCAATGAATAAAAAATTTGAAAACAATCAAGTTTTACATTGTGCACTGTTTTGGGTAGCCTGGTGAAATGTGCCTGACACATGAGCCATCTGTGTCCAGCAGGTCAGTACTGTATATGCCACTTAGTCACTTAGTAGTTGTCTCCAATGTGAGATGACTTTCAAGCTATCACAGTGTTTGTCTTGTTTATTTAGTAGTAACACTAAAGTGCAAGAATAGTGATGCTAGCATTCAGATAGGGCAAAGAGAAGCCATAATGGGCTTGTCTTAACTGAAGAGTGCAGTAACACCCACATATAGCACTAGCACTTGAGAAGCCAAGGAGAAGGATTTTAAGTTTGAGGCCAGTCTGAGCTACATAACAAGATCCTATGTCAAAAAACATTTATAAAGTATGTAATATAAGATATACAATTGTTAATATATATTTGAGACTGCATTTGCATACTCCTACAGTATATCATTATAATTGTCCTATTTGTTGTTTTTAGTCTCTTGTTGTGCCTCATTTATAAGCTTGATCATATGCATGTATGCATGCATGTATAGGAAAAAGTTATATAGGATTCGTACATGCAGTTTAGGCATCTCCTGAGGGTCTTCAAATACATCCCCCCTCACATAAGGGAAGACTACTGTACTTCTGTTCCTTTGAAACCTTAGCTTTATCCCAAATCCAACCTCAGCCTGGACACTAGGGAGCATGCCAACCTTGAGCAGTATTAATGAGGTTGTCCAAAGTCCTAGGCATGTGAATTAATTCACTTAATGCTTACAGTAATTTCACAAGACAGGAAACATAAATAAGAGAGGCTGAACAACTTGTCCAAGATCACACAGACAGTAAGAGACATAATAGAAGGACATGCAGGAATAAAAACAAAAGAAGAAGAGGGAAAGAGATCAATAATATGAGGTTTAGGTCTATGGGGCATAGTTTCTGGATGTCTTTACTAAAAGTCAAAGACAGCTTTCATCATTTAAGCCCAAATGAAGGTGGGCAGGGGGTTGGGGGAATGCAAGTAAGGCTTCGATTTGTTGCTTCCTTTGGGTGAAGGAATCACTCTTAGAATGTCCTTCCATGTATGGGATGCTAGTATTAGACAGTTGCCTTTTTTTACTTGACAGAATGAAATGGTTACAAGACTCAGCTCAGTCTCACTAACTTTTCGTTCTTGATGTGAAGCAGGACTAGACCCTGGGGATGGAAAGGATCTTTGCCTAGTGATAGCAACTCATGTTTCTTCAATTAAAGAAAGTGAGATGAAACACAATCTCCTTTCCCTCCATAGAAGTTGTATAAAGCGGATGGGACCTAAGGTAAGTCTGAAAAAAAAGTAAGAGTCAGAGAGAAAGATAATCTGAAGGCAGAAAAGGAGAGCACTCTATGAAAAGGGGAGCGATATGAACAAACACCAGAGGTCTTAGGTGCTTGTAGTAGTAAGTTCTAGAAATGCTTGCCTCTGTGACACAGTCACATGGGCATCAGAATTATACAAGATAGGTGGAAACTAATAATAATTTGGTAACAGGTACATGCACCATCCTTAAATTGGCATAATGTTATCTGAAAGAGAACTTGGACTAATTGTAATTTATGTTTGCAAACTCAACCATTTGTAAAAAGCAAAATAAAAGGGATATTTAGTATGTTCAAGGAGGAGGAAAAGTGGAATTATATTAAATGCTAACTAAAACTAGATTGGACCCTCTTCTACTGTGAAGACATGAATTATCAGTTTGGTAGATATTAGACACATGTGGCTATTGAGCACCTAAAATGTAGTTAGTGTCACTGGAAATTCAAATTCACTTTATTTGAACTTTTTTTTTTGTTTTTTGGTCGGTCTTGGGGCTTGAACTCTAGGCTTGGGCACTGTCCCTCAGCTCTTCAGCTCAAGGCAAGCGCTCTACTGCTTGAGCCACAGCGCCACTTCTGGTTTTCGAGTGGTTTATTGAAGATAAGAGTCTCACGGACTTTCCTGCCTGGGCTGGCTTTGAACCCTGATCTCAGCCTCCTGAGTAGCTATGATTACAGGCATGAGCCGCCGGCGCCCAGCTTTATTTGAACTTTTAACTATAGAGGCCCAGAATACCAAATAGCATAAAGGCCCCTCCCTCGAATATATGGATGAATATTATATTCAAACTGCAATAAATCAGAGAAAATATTACACTGTAGAGTAAAAATTACGTCTTCTCTCAAGGAAAATGGAAGAACTATTTAAAGTGTTAAATGAAAGAAAGAAAACCCTAAAATTCTGATTCCAGAGAAAGTATACTTCAAAAATGAAAGAGAAGTTAAAGACTAAGACAGAAACATGGAGAGCGTTTGTTTCCAGTAGATCTGATTTGTATAAAATGCTAAAGAAACTCTTCAGAAAGAAGGAAAATAATGTAAGTCACATAAACTATAGAAAGAAAAATGGAACTAAAACAATTCATTTTTTTAAAAAATTGATCTAGCCAGGTACCTGTGGCTCAATCCTATAGTCCTACTGACTTCAAGAGGCTGAGATTGGAAGATCAAGGTTTAAAGCCAGCCCATGCAGAGACTCTTTATCTCCAATTAACCTGGACAATTTTTTAAAAGCAGGAGGAGGGGACTGGAAGCTTAGTTCAAGTGATAGAACAATAACACCGGGAAAAAAGCTGAGTAACAGAGAGTTGAAATGCAAGTACCAACACATAAAAAAAAAAAAGTTTGATCTAATGTAAATGATTGACTCAAAATAGTAATAGCAACTTGTATTCAGTAATCATAGCTTACAGAAACAATCTGCAGGAGTATTATAAGAGCTAGGCGATAGGAACTAATAATATTTTGGTAACAGGTACTTGCACTATCCTTAAATTGGTGTAGTGCTACTTGAAAGAGAACTTAGACTAATTATAATGTATGCAGCAAACTCAACTATTTGTACAAAGTGAAATGAGAGGGATATGTAGTATGTTAGAGAAGGAAAAATGGAATCATATTAAAACCAAAGAAGGCAGAAAATAGTTGGAAGATAGAACAAGAATACTTTGTAGAAAACTACCAAATATTGCCAGGCACTGGTGGCTTATACTGATAATCCTAGCCACACAGGAGGCTGAAATTTGAAGATCAAGCCAATTGAGGCAGACAAATCTGTGACTTTTAACTCCAATTAAGTTCTTTTCTTTCTGTATGGTTTATTCATTTTCTTTTGGAGTGGGAGGCACAGTACTCAAGGGGAAAAGGTGAACAAGTGCAGCAGTGGTACAGAACACTGTTAAAAGTGAACTATACAACTTGGGAGAGAGTAAGGGAAGGGAGGACACTGTGTAAAAAGGAAATGTATGAATTACCTAACTTACGTAACTGTAATCTCTCTGCACATTACTTTTATAATAACAATAAAGTAAATTTTTTTGTGCAAGTCCTGGGGCTTGAACTCAGAACCTGGGGACTATCCCTGAGTTTCTTTTGCCCAAGGCTAGCACTCTACCCCTTGAGCCACATTGTATGTGGTACTGAGGAATCGAACCCAGGGCTTCATGCATGCAAGGCAAGCACTCTACCACTAAGCTACATTCCCAGTCCCAATCAAGTAAATTTTTAAAAAGCTGATTTGAAGGATATCAATGCCAGACTTGACCACTCAAAGCCATGGGAGAACATAAGACCCTCAGTTCAAGCCCCATTACTGCCAACAACAAAGAAAACTACCAAATCTAGGTGTGGTGATAGACATCTATCATCCAGCAATCAGGAGGCTAAGTAAGGTAGAACTATTGTTCAAGGCCAGCCTAGGCTGGCTGGTGGGACCCTATCACACACACAAAAAAACAGAATAAAAAATACCAATAATAATTCAAACTGAATCCCCTAACAAAGAAGGTAAACATTGCTGCTACACAGAGCTAATTTTTGCCTATCTTCTACACGTCTGGTGGTGGTCTTCTTTCAATCTATATTTCTCCCTGCTTGCTTCTTTTCCAAAACAAAATTTAATAAATCACATTAAACATCCGTGGTCTTGGTATACCAATTAAAAGGACAGAGATTGTCAATGTGGATTTTAAAAAACAAGACCAAATTGGATGTTTCCAAGGAATCCACTTTATAAAAAGAGATAGATAAAAAGTCAAAGGAAGATAAACTAAGCTGACACTAATAAAGAAAAACTTGTAGTTATTTCAAATTAATGATAAAAAGGTCAGTTCTCCAAGGAGACATAATCCTTAATACCCAGGTATGTGCCTGACAGACTAGTGAATATATCCATGTATACTGTTATAAAAGCAATTTAATCTACTATTATGATTGGAGACTTTAACGCCTCTGTATCAGTAATTGACAGATCCAGCTGGAAGAAAATCAGTAAGGGTATGGTTGAATTGAACACCACAACTGATCAACTAAATCTGATTAACATCTACACAATTCTTCATCCAACAGCACATGTTCACATAGAACATTCAGTAAAATAAACCACAAAATGGGCTGTTCAATACAGAGCCCCTTCACGTTGAAGTCATAGAAGTCATATAATGACTGCAATGGAATGCCGGAAAGGTAGCTGGAAATTCCAATTGTTGCTCAACAGTTTAGTCAAAGAAATGTCAGGAGACAATTTAAAATAGAACACTACAAGCTAAAATTTGTGGGATGCACAAAGGGACTTACACATTAAACATTGTATATAAATCAAATCTAAAAATAAGCTTCCACCTTAAAAAATCAGAAAAAAATGAAATCTAAAAGCAGGAAAACTCAGAAGTTGAGGAGAAATCAATACAGAAAATAAGAAAAGATGAATGAAACCAAAAACTGGTTCAAAAGAGCAATAAAATTGATAAGTATCTAAAGCTAAGAAAGAAATGAAGAATTATTAGTATTAGAAGTGAAGAGGAAGGGACCTGCTGTGCAGGTCCTAAATTTGGGCTCCAGCACTACCGGTGGGGGAGGGGCCATCGTGGATCTCATGCATGTGAAAAGAATAAAGGGATGTGGGCAGGCTCATAGCTCACGCCTGTAATCCTGGGAGGCTGAAATTTAAGGATTTCAATACAAAGCCAGCCCAGGTAGAAAGTCCATGAGACTTTTTATCACCAATTAACCACCAAAAAGTCAGAAGTAGAGCAATGACAAGTGGAAAAGCATTAATCTTAAAACAAAAAAGGGACAGTACCCAGGCCACCTCAGTATTGATACACATACACACAAACTTTTCAGATCGCAAGCAATCTGATTAGGCCTATATTTTTAAAAATTCAGGCAATAATTACTGTTCTTTGAAAACATAGCTTCAGGCCTGTTAGGATTTGAATAGGAAATGTCCTCCAGTCTCATGTGGAGGCTGGAGGAGCTGGGGCCTAGCTGAAGGAATTGTGGGTGGAAACTTGGGGGAATATAGCTTTCTCCAGCTCCTTCTGCTTCCTCGCTGCCATGAAGTAAGCAGCCCTGCTTCACCAGGCCCTTCTGCTAGGATCTGTTACTGCTTTACCATAGGCCCAGAAATACTGTGGTGGTAGACTGGAACCTCTGAACAGAAGAACACAGAAATAAACCCATAATTCCAGCCATTCAAGTGCCAGAAGTTGTTCCCATTATGCCGTGAAGTTCACTTGGAGCTGTTTACATGAGAAGTTACCAACAATACTTTGCATCCAGGGACCACTATCAACATCTTGTAAAGAATACTTCTGACTAAGGTATCATGATTTTTATGAAGAATTAAAATATAAGAATGTGACAAAATATTAGCAGTATTGTCCTCATTGTATATTTATTACAGAAAAATGTAATGCAAGCTCTTCACTTGTGAGAAGTCTAGTCTTTTCTCTGTTTCAACATGATTTACTAGCAAAAGATTACTTATTTCCCTGGCTTATTTTCTTTTCCCCTTCTACTTTCTCATATGGGGAAAGTAAAAAAAAAATTACAACATAATACTTAAATAGCGACTTTTAGGTCCATATCATTTTCCTATGTAAGTTTCCTTACAGCAATTCTGAACATAAGCCTCCCATTAATTACTTGCTTAAAGGGAGGCTTATGCTCAGAATTATACTTTTTTTTTTTTGTGGTCGGTCGTGGGGCTTGAACTCTGGACTTGGACGCTATCCTTCAGCTCTTCAGCTCAAGGCGAGCGCCCTACCACTTGAGCCACAGCACCTTTATGCAGGATCTACCTAATGTTTCTACAACACAGACACAGAAGTGAGAAAGAGCTCACGCTTATAATCCTAACTACTCAGGAGGCTGAGATCTGAGGATCAAGGTTTGAAGCCAGTCTAGGCAGGAAAGTCTGTAAACTCTTATCTTGAATTAACCAGCAAAACAGCCAGAAGTGGAGTTGTGGCTCTTGTAGTAGAGTGCCAGCTTTGAGCAATAAAGCTAAAGGAGTGCCCAGGCCCATAGTTCAAGCCCCATTGCCAGTCCAAAAGAAAAGGGTGCCCTCACCACCCTTAAAAATGCTGTCTCACCACACTGTGATGCATGCCTGTGCCTCTACTTTCTGCTGCAGCCACTGAACCCAGCTCACATGGAGGCAGTCCATTTCCTGCCAAGAGGCTATGTCTTCACACACCACCTCACAGTAGTCTCCACCCAGCATAGTGATGACACTGCTTCTGGTTGCCTTAGAAATCAACCCAGAGCACCCTCAGGGGTCTGCAGTAGATAGCTGAAAGTCTGGACGAATGCCAGAAACTTTAATGGCTAGTAAGCAGTACTCTGAAGAGTAATGAGGGGTTAGAGCACTAGGGGCAGCTCAGAAGCAGAGGCTGAGAGCAAGCAAAGAGCCAAGATGCTGTATGTGCAGGTGGCCATCGACAGAGCCATGGCTGAAGCCAGACTTGCAGAGGAGAAACGGCAGGAGGCCACAAGAGAAGCCCAAGTGACCCTGGAAGATGCCCAGAAGGAATGCAGTAGGGGACTTCCACACTGGCTAGGCCCAGTCCTTGCACCCCACTCAGAACCTCCCATGGTAACTGACTCAGAGTGGTTGGGTCTGAGTGCACAGGAACAGTAGGTATTTTTTCCCCCAACACTTGGGGTACAGATAACAGAATGTGCACATCTGGGTATGAGTACTCTGGACTCCCAACAGGATTCCCCCAGTATAAAACTAACTCTGAGGCCAACTCTTTTATGACTGCCATTCTTTTTGTCATGTGAGGGAGGATGAGTACCTGTCTGGGAAGGTTATTTGGGAGATTTAGTAAAGTAATCTATTTAAGCTTATAGCACAGTATCAAGGAAAAGCTGAAGAACGATAGCTAAAGAAACCACTTAAGAAACTCACAAAAAAGAGAAAGCCGGGAGGCTTTTAGGCTCATGCCTAAAATACTAAGTACTCAGAAGGCTGAGGCCTAGAGGATTTTAATTAGAAGCCAACTCGTCTCCCCTTAGTCCCCCCCCCAAAAAAAAATCTTGGGACTCCATCTCAAAATAACTAGCAAAATGTTGCACTGAAGACCTGGTTCAAATAGTAGGGCATCAGCCATGAGCAAGCAAACCAGTTGAAGGTACCAGGCCCTGAATTCATGCCACCATACCAGCATACCCAAAAAAAAGAAAAAGATAAATGAGTATAAAATAAAGACAAATTTGCTGTTGGTTTTCTACAGTTCTACAATCTAAAATTCTCGTCTAGAGAAAGCAGTTTTTTTTTGGGGGGGGGGTCCAGTCATGGGGCCTGAACTCTTGGCCTGGGTGCTGTCCCTCAGCTCTTCAGCTCAAGCCTAGCACTCTACCACTTGAGCCACAGCGCCACTTCCGGCTTTTTTTTCTGCCTATGTGGTGCTGAGGAATCGAACCCAGGGCCTTAAGCATGCAAGGCGAGCGCTCTACCACTGAGCCAACTTCCCAGCCCGAGAAAGCAGTTTTTATAATCAGGTTGCTAAATATAAAAATTGTTTACGAATCAGACAAATGAGTTATCCAGGATGCCTATATGTAACTGTGCTTAATCTTGCAAATTTCTCTTCTGTTTTTCTGTATGAATTTTTTAAAACCCTTATTATTTCATTGTTTTATTACTTGAAATACAAGCTTTTGAAGAATAACGAAACACGTTCTAGTTAGGTAACTGCTATAGGAAATCAGTTATTACTAATAACTTTACACCTAGCTGCACTTTGGAATGGGCTTACCATTGGTGCTGGTGGCTCACACCTGTAACCCTATCTACTCAGAAGACAGATCTGAGGATCACGGTTTGAAGCCAGCCTGAGCAGAAAAGTCCCTGTGAAGACCAGAAGTGGCACTGTGGCTCAAAGTAGTAGAGTGCTAGCTTTGAGCAGAGCTCAGGGACAATGCCCAGGCCCTGAGTTCAAGCCTGATAACAAAAAAGAATGGGCTTACTGACTTGAATTTTTTTTTTTCAGTGCTACTACCAGGGTCCTGCATTCTTGCTCACACCTTTTTCACTCATGGCTACCACCTGAACTACTCTCCCCGTCTTCAAATCTGGCTTTTTTGCTGCTTAGTTGCAGAGTATTATGGATTTTTCTGTCTCATCTGGCTTCAAATCACAATCCTCATATCTTAGCCTCCTGAATAGCTAGCTTTGCAAACTTAAGCTACCTGCTTAAAAGCTTTTCTCATCAAAACTGAGTTGTTAGCCAGGTGCTGGTGGCTCACGCCTATAATCCTAGCTATTCAGGAGGCTGAGATCTGAGGATCACAGTTCAAAGCCAGCCCAGGCAGGAAAGTCTGTGAAACTCTTATTGCCAATAAACCACCAGAAAACCAGAAGTTGCACTGTGGCTCAAGTGGTAGAGCACTAATCTTGAGCTGAAGAGCTCAGGGACAGTGCCCAGGCCCAGTGTTCAAGCCCCATGGCCAACAACAACAACAACAAAAACAGTTGCTGACAAGATTTAAAAACCATGGTTTGTGGTATTTGAAATGGCAATTCAATTTTCCTTCACCAGTATTAAAAGTGCTTCTGACAGTCACAGCCTCAAACATAATATGGCTCTTTAGACTTATAATGCCTCCCTTCAGAAAAACTGAAGAGTCTGGCCTGTTAGGCCACAAAAAATGCCTTCTGCCACCTATGAAAAGTTGGCTCAAATTAACTCCCTAATGCAATTTATTCTATACCATGCCATCTGATACTTTTTCCAAATCTTAATTTCTTTCTTTGATCTTCTAGATTGGCCTGGGCTAAAAATACTCAAGACCCTCGGATTGCAATAGGTTCTTATTCCCCACTAGAAAAGAAGATTAAGGTGAGGAAATACAGTTGCCATGAATTTTGGACACAATAATAGGTTCATGATCTGGGCACCAGATTCTAGTCACTCAGGAAGCTGAGATATGGAGGGAGGGTTGTGATTCCAAGCCCAGCCAGGCAGGAAGTCCACAAGACTCCCAACTTTAAAAGCCAGGCTGGAGGCAAGGTTCAAGGGGTACAGTGATAGCTGGATAAGCAAAACTGAGCAAGACAGTGGTCCAGATTTCAAATCCCAGTACTGGCAGAAAAAAAAAAAGATGAAAAGTTTATCATAGAAGTAAAAAGGGCATAGGTATTTCAAGAGAAAGCACAGTGCCTGTTGTATTCAACTCTGCATTTGGGTCTTTAACTAGCAGGACTGGCTAGCAGTGTTGAACAAAATAAACCCCACTCAGGGTCTAAGAGGGCCTGGTCTAGTGATGAACATTGATAGTAAATAGGAATCATCACAAATTGTGATAAGAGACGTTTTCTGAAGAATGTGTGGAAGGGCTGAGGAAGTAGCATGTCAACTCATGTAGAAATTGTAGACAATGTCAGAGTTGCTGAGGTGTGAGGGGGAGCAGATGTAGCAAGAGTATAAAATACTTAAGTGGAAAAGAAAATACCACTTTGAGGAATAGAAGTCAATGTGGCTAAAGCTGAGTGAGCAGATCTAAGCTCAGAAAATTGTTTGAAGACATCAGAGCCAGGTTATAGGTGCCATGTTGTAATCTGGAGTTCTCTTCTAAAAACAGTAGGTCTCTATCCCAGGATTTTATGCAAACAAGGGATATGTCTAAACCTACCTAATAAAAAGATCACTCTGGTGATCTGGTGGGTATGAAGGTGTGGGAGAGAGGTACAGGCTTGAAGACCTAATTGGGTTAACACTAGGGTTGGGGCAGCAGGTGAAGGGAAGCATGGATGAGGGTTATTTTGAAGGGATAGGATTAAGAAGGTGGACGTGGAGAAAGCAGCAAGTGGCAATGTCTAGCAATGACTGGGACTGAGCTTGAGAGGGAGAGGGGCAGTGCCTTATCTGTGGGACTTGTCTCAATTCAGCTCTAATCCCCCTAGAGCAGTGGAAGGTAACTTTGTTGGGTTATCACTCGATCAAGGAAGCCTAAAAATGACTGTTCTGAGTGCCAGTGACTCACCACCTGTAATCCTGGGAGGCTGAGATCTGAGGATGGTAGTTCAAAGCCAGCCTCAGCAGAAAAGTCCATGAGACACTTAGCTCTAATTAACTACCAGAAAACCAGAAGTGGTGCTGTGGCTCTAAGTGGTAGAGCGCTTGTCTTGAGCCAAAGAGCTCAGGGACCGCACCCGGCCCAGAGTTCAAGCCCAACTGACACACAAAAAAAAAAAAAAAAACCAAAGACTATACTGAACTGGGTGCTGCTAGTGAGTGGTTCATGCCTGTAATCCTAACCACTCAGGAGGCTGAGATCTGAGTATGGCAATTCAAAGCCAGCCTAGACAGCAACGTCCATGAGACTCTTATCTCCAAGTAAGCACCAGAAAACTAGAAGTGGAGCTGTGGCTCAAAATGGTAGAGCACTAGCCTTAGCAAAAAGGCTCACAGGCAACACATAGGCCCTGAGTTCAAGCCCCACAACTAATCAAAAAATAAAAAAATAGATGATTGTACTGCATGTATTATATCTTAAACAACTTTCTCCTCTGCTGGGTTTTCCTGCACTACATTTAAAAGACAGACCAGGAAGGCAGATGAAGAAATAACTATGAGATAGGAAGAGAATTGGGCTACACAGCTATCTGTGTCCTGTGTCTTAGTCCTGTGTCTGGAAGGCAGAAGTGTGAAATGTTTCAGAGGAGAAAAGTGGTTGTCTTTATTAAGTGTGTTGAAATAATGGCAGGAGCAGAAATGAGACCACTACATAGAGTACACTGGCAAACTAGGAAAGAGCTGACAGTTGAGGCTGAGACTGGGCAGGAATATAAATGACCATATCAGAGTATATTGTGGAGGTGTGAGGACAAAGATAGTTAAAACTCAGAGAGGGATAGACAGGTAAGGAAGACTGCTTTTTTTGTTCAAAGATGCTACATACCTTTATGCTGTGGGAAGAGATGAGTAGGAATGTCTGTGGTAGTTAATTGAGGATAAGGGTCTCATGGACTTTCCTGCCCCAGCTGGCCTTGAACCTTGATCCTTAGATCTCAGCTTCCTGCATAGCTAGGAGTACAGGCATAAGCCATGGGCACCTAGCCAGTAGGCAATTTTGATAATGTAGGAAAAGGAATTTGATAATTACAAAATTGAGACTCTTGAAGTTTAATAAGCAGAAGTGGTAGAACTGGCTTTTGATATGAGAAAGTCAATCTTTCTACTATAAATGCAAGAAAGCAGTCTGGGGTAAAGGCAGGGAGGTGACTGGGAAGTGGGAAAAGGAAGAGGGTGCTGAGTTTAAGGCAAAGCCCTCAAGCAGGAGGGAGCACTAGAAGAGAGAGTAGAGGAAGTTTGAAGAGGAAGACACGGGTATGGTGTAGGAGTTGGCAGAGCTGACAGCCCACTTGAGACCTGTAACACAACTCCCTTCCGTTTTCTCCCTGTGACAAGTGTGCAGGTGGCGTCTACTCTTCAGATGCAAGAAAGCTGTTATGCCGGGAATTTAAGAAGGAGGCTGGAACAGTTGATAAACTAAAGACTGTGTCTTTTGACTCCCAGAGTTCTAAAGCAGAAACACACTACCATCAACTTCAAGAAATGATGACGGAGCAAACATGGAACCAGAAAACGGATCCAGAATGGGAAATGAAAACAGAGGAAGAGAAGCAATCACAAAGCAAAAAATCTGAAGATGATGAAAAATGGGACTATCTAGTGTCTGAGAGGGAACTGAATCATATACAGAAACACATTTACCGAGCTGAACGTGCTAGAGGCCTCAGAGACAATAAGTACAAACTACTCCCTCAAAAAGTTCCAAGTGAAATGCTTTTCCCCAAAATAACACTGTACAATGAAGAAAAAGCAAAAGTACAGCACCTATACAAAAGAGAAACAAAAAAGCCCAAGGTGGCATGGGCAAAGGAACAGATAAACAAACATGAAGAACGAATGACTCGAGGGCGAAAACTCACAAAACAGAGAAACGACGAAAGAGATGCCCAGAAACTCTCCAGCTATGTTCCTCTTCTAAAACCTCAGGTGGAGAAGAAGGTGAAGGAGGAGTTTAAAAGGGTCACAGTGTATCCTCTCTTCCAGCCTAACCACAAATCACGTATGGAAGTGACCGTTCTGATGAAAAAATCCAAAGAGGTAAAGATTCAAAAGACATTCCAAAAGGAGTTCTTGAGTATACCACCATTCTTAAGATATCAACTAAGGAAGAAGAAAAGTACAGCCTGGGACACGGCTCAAGTGGGAAAATGCTTGCCTAACAAGCAAAGGTCCTAAGTTCAAACTTCAATACCACAAAAACAGAAGCAAAAAATAATAAAGCTTAAGTTATTTTCTGGATTATATTTCTTTTTTAGGCTGACATATTTTATGCTAATTTGCACAGTGGGCAATCACTAAGAGATTGATAAATGGCTTAGAAGAGGTTTGGAAGAGATGAGATAGGAATCAGAGACTACCAGATGGAGGCCTATAGTAGTAACCTCAGTAAGATGGAGAAAATCAAGACCAGGGAAGAAATAGTGACTGGTTAAGGTATAGGGTACAGTGGTTGTAGGGGAAGAAAATAAAACCCTAGGTTTCCGTCTGAGGAAATAATGTGATAAAAGCATCAGCACAGGGATTATAGATCCAGGGAGCAGTTTTATACCTTTGGCTAAAGTAATTCGTAAGTGCTACAAAAAGCAGTTGTTGACATATATCTAGGTTTTCAAGAAATCTAAGCACCAAACATAGTTTTGAGATTGTTACAAGTCTAAAAATCAAGAGGATAAGATTCTAGAAGGAATTAGAGAAAGAAAGAATAGGTATCAAAGATGTACTTGCAAGACAAATCTTACATGTCAAATGCATTGCCTTTATCCTTAATTTGGAAAAGAATTGATAAAAGTGACCTAATCCAGACTCACTGGGTAGACTAGTAGGAAAGGAGGTTTCACTCTGCTATGGTTTGAAAAGAGAAAGAAGAGATTACAAGTGAGTCTTATTTAAAGAGGAGGCAAAGCCAGGCTCTGGTGGCCTAATCCTCGCTACTTGGGCAGCTAAGAGCTGAAGGATAGCAGTTTGAAGCCAGCCTAAGCAGAAAAGTCCACTAGACTCCATCTGAAAAAACAGCAAGTGGCAGGACTGGATGTAAGGCTCAAGTGAGCCTTAGAGTGCGCCAACCTAGCAAATGCTAGGCCCTGAGTTCAAATCCTAGCACTGCAAAAACAAACTACAATAAAAAGGAACTTTTTAGAGACATGACTACAGTTAAGGGGAAAACCAGATACAGACAGAGGGGAATGACTAAGAAGCAGGAAGAACCATAATCCAGTCTTCCACAGAAAGAGGCACCTCTACTCCAGACCCCAGAGGAGTGGAGAGAAACAGGGTAGAAGCAGAAAGCTGGAAGATGAGAGAAGGAGCCCGGAACGCACCAAGGACAGACTAGAAAGTTCCAAAGAGATGAGAAGCATGCGTGTAGACCTAGGGCTGGCGTTGCTGGAGACAGTAGTTCTGCCTGGCTTACCAAAGGCTTAAGTAGCTCCCTGTATGCAAATCAAAGGCTAAATTGTATGCAGTTACAGCTATTTGACCATTTTAATGTGTAAACACAATTTTGTACGAAACACCTGATAACCTGAGGTTGATTTGACTGGCTAACTTTACAACGTAGAGACATTGAAAGAACTAAAAAATGATCCATAGGACTGACAACCTAAGAGAAACTTTTAATAGGACAACACTAGAAAAACTCCAAGAAGAGAAATAATGAGTAACTACAATTATTTGTTGTATACAATTATTTATATGGCAGTGAATCTCCTTTAATCAAAGACAAATCATAACAATCCTCTTAACTATCAAAAGCTACAATTTGCTAAAACTATCTTTAAAAATGCTTAATCATACAATATGTACAATACATGCTTCTTCCTTTTTGGGATTACATGATCCAATGGAGTCCTAAAAAAGGAGGAAATAGAGCTGGTTAACAGTTGATAAATGCAAAGATCATGTGATACATATAAATGAAATCTAAGGACTGTGCCCTCAGTGAGTAGGGCCTAGGTTATTCTACATTATTGGGGCATGTGTGTGTGTGTATGTGCGTGTATATATATATATGCATAAATATACATCCATATGTATCACTTAAATTGATATAGATATATCACATATATAGTAATGCATAGCCTCTTTCCCTCAAAACACTTTAACAGAAATGATCATAGAACAAAAGATCAATTAATTGAAACATATAAAGACTACATTCCTTAAAAGGCTCATGTTAATTATTAGAGCTAGAAAAATAAAAGTAATGATTATCTAGCTCAAAAATGCCCCCTTTGGGCAGGGTGAGGAGTGGCGTGGCTCCTGTGGCAGAGTGCCTATCTACTACGCCAAAGCCCTGGGTTAACTCATCTAAGTTATTAATTTGTTAGGGCATTAAAAATCTAAATCTAACCAGGTGCAGGTGGAGCATGCTCTTAATTCTAGCTACTCAGTAGGCTAAGATCTAAGGAACATGGTTCAAGGCCAGCCTGGACAGGGAAATCCATGAGACTCTTAGTTCCAGTTAACCATTAAAAAAAAAAAAAAAAAAGCTGGAAGTAGAGTTCTGGTTCCAGTCGTAAAGCACTAGCCTTGAGCACAAAAGCTCAGAGACAGCTCCCAGATCCTGAGTTCAAGACCCAGGACCCACACCAAAAACAAAAAAAAAAAAACAAACATCCAGATCTGGAACAAAGTGTCCTGCACTGAATTTCCAGCTGTACTGAAGTAACCAATCCTTAGAAGGGATAAAGGGACTCCCACTCACAAGATCCTGCCTCTGTCTTTTGCACCAGTATCTTCTACATTGTCTCATTAGAGTGGATGTTGATTGTCTACAGATTTTTCTCTATGAACAATAGAGCACTCAATAGGAAAAAAGTGTGATTCGGATTGCCAAATAAACTGTAATAAAACTGCACAGCTATCATATAGAAAATGTCACCTGTAGTGGCATCAAGCACTTAGCCTCTGCTGGCTCTGACCCAAAGCAATTGCAGGCTCAGAAATCTCAAAGGTCTTCACAATCTCCTAATAGGGAAGAAAAGAACATTTGGGCAGTGCATCATACCAAGAGAAGTCAGCCCCAGAATCAAGGAGGGCGACACACATTCTTACCTCCCAGTCACGGTAACTCAGAGCTATAATTCCTTGATTCCTAATTTGGGTATGATGATCGATGCCTTCACTTTCATCATTAATATTAACAGGCTCTGTTTAAAAGACATGTTATAGATGATCAAATCAGAACAGGGAATATGAACAGCAAATGATAACAGAAATGAAACTTGTACTGAGAAGATACACTTGCTTCCATTTGGAAAAAAACAAAAAACGTAGACTAACATATCAAAAACATCAGAAAACTTCTGCATATGTATGCACTAAAACACAAAGCAAGTAAGAGTGCAATATGAAATTGTCAACGTGAAGTTAAGTGCAATGAAAGGACCATGTTCACTCCTGGAGAACTGAGAAGGACATGAGTTACAGATAGAGGGAAATATTCCAGGACTCAAGATTCACAGAATCTCAGAAAGAGAAGAAGCTGCCATCCTGGAAAACACTGCTCCGTTAAAATGTTAATTTTTACAACGGATGTTGACTCAATGAAGGTTGAATCTATTAAAAGTTTAAACCATGGTCATGTTTTCTGACTTGAGTTGGGTAGCACTCAAAGCTACCACTTGAGCCCCAGCTCCACTTTTGGCTTTTTGGTGGTTAATTAGAAATAAGTTTCACAGACTATCCTGTCCAGGCTGACTTCAAACCACGACTCTCAGATCTCAAGCATTCTGAGTAGCTAGGACTACAGGTATGAGTCACCAGCGCCCAGCTAAAAAAGCATTTTGTATACTCTAGAATATTTTCTCTGGGGCTGGGAAGGTAGCTCAGTGGTAGAGCACTTGCCTTGCATGCATGAGGCCCTGGGTTCGATTCCTTAGCACCACATAAGAAAAAAGAAAAAAGCCGGAAGTGGCGCTGTGGCTCAGGTGGTAGAGCGCTAGCCTTGAGCTGAAGAGCTGAGGGACAGCGCCCAGGCCCAGAGTTCAGGCCCCACGACCGGACTCAAAAAATATATATATAAATAAAATAGAATATTTTCTCTGAATCTAAAATTTCCAGTATAATTTACCTATTATTGGCAGTCGGTCTTGGTCAAGTCTTATTCTTGCAAAACCATCCTAAAACAGAAACAGTTTAAAAAGACCAAAATTTAGGCTCAAGCTTATAGCCACTAGGTACAAAAAATTGTTCATAGAGAAAAATCTGTAGACAATCAACATCCACTCTAATGAGACAAAGTGGAAGATACTAATTCTCTTAATATCTTTCTTTAAGCAGGGTCTGGCTCAGGTTTCTAATCAACTTTCACCACCTATTACTCTCCAACCTTGAATCGCCTAAGGAAAATTCTGAGTTCTTTAACTAATTTGCATACTTTATTATGCCCACTTTTTTTATTATTTATAATTCTACCACTGGGAATATTGACAAAATATTCTTTTGTTATTTCTGAGAAACCAGTCAATACAAGTTTTTGGGCAATGTTTTTAATTATGATCCGAAACATGAGGTTAGATGTAGAATTCTCTTTGGTATTATATCAGCACTCAAAAAGTTTCATATTTTGGAACATTTCAGACTTTGGACTTCTAGATTAAGATAATCTGTACTTTCAAAGATACAAAAAAGCAAGGTATACAAAATATTTTACCTAGTCTCTCGTACTAATAGAATGCCAATATTTTGCTCTAGTGAGTCAAACCTGTATTATTATGCCAGTATCTTCCCTCTACAGCTTTTATTACATACTCTTTAAAAAGCATAGAAAAACATTAAGGGAATCTGAACTCTTACCCGTATAATGAAGGAGACATGGAAGATGTTTTCTACTGTACGGGGAAAAGAATGTGGATCAACCACGAAGTCAAAAAAGGACATTGGAGTATCAGCTACAGAAAAAAGAGAAAAAGATCTTCAAAACAGAAAGACACTTGCTGACTAATAAGATTTACACCCTAGTGTTTGCCACAGACAGGCAAGGAATACATTCTTCTGGTTTGGGAGGGAGACACAACTATTCTGGAGGTCAACTTGGCACAGCATTAAAACAGGTCCCTGCTGGTCTGGCAATCCTCTTAAAAGCCATTCTAAAGCAACATTATTACATTCAAGATTATCATATCACCATCTTGTACAAGAGTAAAATGAAGTAAGGACTTTATCCAGTAGGAGAAAATATATGAAAAAAAGCTCCCTATGTATTAATAGGGAAGAATAACCACATAGAAGTCACATTCCAGAAGAAAATGTTGGTTTTAAAAACGCAGAAACAAGACCAACAGCAACCAACCAAACTACTTTGAAACATAAACAGCAAACAGTGAAAGCTGATGTACCAGGCTGCACAAATGACTATCTCTGGGGGTAAGGAGATAAGATAGGAGTTGGATTCTTTTCTCACTTTAGTGGAAAGTATTATTAAGAAAAAAATCTTCTAAAAAAGCAGTTATTTCTAAAAGGAGGAAGTCTCATTAAATATAAACATATATTACCAGAAAGAATCAAAATCATTCAAACACTATAATTAAATTTTAAATAATTTAAGAGCCTTTTAAATAAACATTTCAAATAAAAATAACCTGACTGGTTACATAAAACGTCTGATAAATCCAATTGGTCATGCTTGCATGTGATGTTGGGGAGGATGGGGATTGTACTGGAGCTTGAAATCAGGATCTGGGTGCTATCCCTTT